TGGGGTTTGAACTCAGGGCTTCACACTGGCAAAGCAGGTGCTCTACCACTTGATCCATGCCTCCAGTCCATTTTACTCTGGTTATTTTGGAGATAGGATCTCTCAAACTGTTTGCTCCAGCTGGCCTCAGACCTCAATCCTGGAGCCTCCTGATTCTGCCTCCCAATAGTTGATTCCAGTTGTGAGCCACCAGCTCTTTTTTGGGGGGGAGAGGGCTGAGAGGCTTTACTGTTGCTAGACAGGCACTCTACTGCTTGAGCCACTCCATCAGCCCCCTACTTAGGTTTTTATGCAAGTCCTTGACTTTGACTGCAGCAAAGAATTTCTGGACAAGTAACAAAGTTAAGAAAACTAGCAGAGGTATATTTAGTAAAGCAAAGGACAGCATGCACCAGATGTGGATGTGGGCACACCCGAAAAGAGGCATACTGAACAAACATTAGGGGTATTTAAGGTGAAAAGGGGAAGGGGATTCTGTTCAACATTTGACATACGTGCTTTCCTTTGTTTAGGGCATCTGGAACACTTTAATCATTCTTGCTGTTATACTGTCTTGTTTTATTAGTACTGGTGATTGAACTCAGGGCCTTGTGCTTGCTAGGCAAGCATTCTCCCCCTTGAGCCACACCCCAACCCAGTTTCTGGTTTTTTTATTCCCATGCCTCATTCTTCCTAATCTATTCTGCCTTGCTATTAGAACATAGTTCATCTTATAGAAAAATAATAAAGTTTCCTTTAATCATTACAGTTCTTTCCAATCAGTTCATAGTAGCTAAAAACACTGATATTCCTATATTACTGTTTTGTTTTGTTTTTTCTCAAATTAGGGAGAGATCTTAATATAAGTAACTATCAACCCTTTTCCGTGTCTACACTGAACTCCATCAGCAGGTCAATTAATTGTTCAAATGACCTCTCGGCTAAATATAGGTATTTCAATAAATCAGCCTTCATAGTTTAAATTAACTTCAATAAAACGTAATTATTCTTCAAATAATTTGGTAAAATAATCTGTCTTTATCCCCGATTCCTGGCACAGAACTTCAAAAACCTTTGGAATTTCCTGATTGATGGGAATTTGTTATGCCAATAAGTTGACTCTTGGTGAGTCCCTAGCTAGCTTCACAATTGGGGCTGGTCACCAGACCACAAGATTAGAGGGTTGGAACATTGGACCAGCCTAATTTGTAAGGAAAAGAGCGTTGGGGAATGAGTCCAATCTTGTGGCCAATGGTTTAATCAAGCATGCCTATGTAATAAGTCCCCTTTAAAAATTCCTGCCTGGTGTGGTAGCTCACATCTGTAATCCCAACCATGTAGGAGGCAGAGGTAGGAGAACTGTGGGCCAAGACCAGCCCTAAGGAAAAACACAAGTCCCTATCTGAAAAATAACAAGAAAAATGGCCTGAGGGCATGGCTCAGGGTAGAGTGCCAGCCTAGAAGTAGCAAGGCAAGACCTTGCTAAGGCAAGACCCTTTAACACTCCCCCACACCTCACCCACGCATACAAACTGGACACCAAGGTTTGGTGGAATTTCCTACTTGGTGAACTCATTGATGTACTAGGAAAGTGTTGCCCTGGCTCCACAGAAAGGTCACATGGAAGTCAAGCTCCCTCCCAGACCTCATCCCACTTACTATCCTTTATAACAACACTGTAATCAAGTATAGCACTTTCCTGAATTCTCCAAGTGGTCCAAGGAATTACGAAGACTCAGTGGGCTTTCTAGTCAGAAGTGTGGAGTCTGATGCTAACTCCAAGTAGTTAGAATTGAATTGCATCAAAGTATACCCACTTTGATGTGAAACAATAAATGATAACATTTAGATAAATCAACTTACCCATAAAACTTCATCCTAACCTGCTGAAGTTGGGACCTCTGTGAACAGTCTACCTCTGCAGATAACCTCTTGGGGTTTGGCTTTGTTTTCTTTTTGTGGCACTGGAGCTTGAACTCAGGGTCTCACACTTGCTCTACCACTTGAACCACTCCACCAGCCCTGTTTTATGTTGGTTACTTTCGAGATAGGGTCTTGAGAACTATTTTCCTGGGCAGGTTTTGAACCTCCTGATCTCTGCCTCCTGAGTAGTTAGGATTACATGCATGAGCCACTGGCACCCAGCTTGACTCAGTTTCTTATACTGCTTTAATGCTCTCTGGCTCTATGAATTAGCTAAGATTGGAAATCCTTGTTATAAACATTAACGATCACACCCCAGATGTCTTTCCCCCACGAAAACAGCCTTTCACATTATTATCCATTTTCAGTTTAGTTTATACCTCAATTTGGTTGTTTTTTTTTATTAATTTATTCACATGTGCATACATTGTTTGGGTCATTTCTCCCCTTGCCCCCCGCCCCCACTCCTCTCCCCCACAAACCAGCTTTTTAATAGTACCTGGACATTTGTGTAAACAAAACACTCATTTATGGTAATAATAGCTACCACTGCTTGTTTTGTTCTAGGTGCAGTACACAAAGCTTAAAATGATGATTTAATTTAAACCTCACAACAATCCCAAGGGATATGATTACCAACACATTTTACAGTTGCAGAAACAAGTTTACAGATGTTAAGAAATCTGTCAAAGACAGCATCTAGAAGGTGCTGGCCAAGATTTAATCCAGATGTTTAGCTTCAGAATTCCTATACACAGCTACCATATTTACTGCCTCTTTTTCTGAGAAATAAATCAGAAAGTTGCTAACAGCTTCAAACTGGCAAATTCTTGCTTCTAGCTGTTAAGTTTTCAGAAATTTTGGGAGTCTGTACACAAGACACCCTAAACCTGAGACACACAGAGTCTCATAGGTAAGAACAGAAGTTGTGTTAACTTATTGCAAGTTTGTATACATACATATGTACATGTATATTTTCTCTCTCTCTCCATATATATATACATATTTATGTGTGTGGTTTTTTTTTTTGGTACTTGAGAGTTTGTTAGGCAAGCACTCTACCCCTTGAGTCACATCCCCAGTCTGAGTTTGAATAGCATTCAAAAATATTTGCTGAGAGCCGGGCACCAGTGGCTCACATTTGTAATCCTAGCTACTTGGGAGGCAGAGATCAGGAGGATGGCAGTTCGAAGCTAGCTAGGGCAAATAGTTTGCAAGACCCTATCTTGAGAAAACCCTTCAGAAAAAAGGGCTGGTGGAATGGTTCAAGGTGTAGGCCCTGAGTTCGAATTCCAGTACCGCAAAAAAGAAAAAAATTGCTGAATGCTTCTCATGTTCCAGAAAGGGCATTTCATACACAGAGAAAAAAGAAAACAGACAAGCCACCGCTCTTGTGGATTGTGCATTCAGCAATCAATTGGAGGGTACACTCAAAATTGGAGATAATATTTACTCTATAAGGTTGTTGTGAGAATCAAATGCAATTCTAAATGTAAAATGCTCAGTGACTGACACCTAGTCACATAGTAAATGCTCAGTACATGTTACATTTATACAGATCAAGTAAGAATTTAGTAGGCTTCCTATCTATTTCACTTCTAGGAATGTCATGATTCACTAGCCAACACCATAGGTATACATTATTCATACTATTTTGATTGTTGCTTTCTCTGCTGCCCATTACAGTATCTACATTTTCCTTGCCTTTGTTGAATACTACCATTTGGCCCTTGCCACCATTTGTTCATACATTTAAGTTTTCCAGGAGAGTGACTGCAGTTGCCTTGTAAGGTCCCACCCACAGAAAAGAGAAATTATGGAACTCTTCAGGAATGCTGGGACTCCCTTCAAAAAAAAAAAAAAAAGTCTATTTCTCAAAGCATTGGTGAAAAGTATGTCTTCTGGCCTCTCCCAGTTTGATAAGTTTTAAGCAACAAAACCGCTCTAGCATTCCAGTCTCCCTAAACCTTTAAATCCCTCCATAGAAAACCAAGGGAGATTGGGCATTTCCAATTTACTGACAGTGGGCCCCCTTTTGATTCATGTTTCAGCCAACCAAAGTGTTAGCGTCTTCCCCAATTCCCTGAACTGAATGCAGAATCTCTTAGAGGGCTCAGAGCAACAACCTGGTCCACTTCATATTCCTTCCACCATTATCCCACATCCCTAATATCCATTCCCATACATGTTCCCCAGATTTCTGCTTGAATACATTAGAAAACTTTAGTTCTTTTGGAATACAATGCGCCTCACCAGTACTAGTTGGGACTAGTTGGGGGGTCTGGAAGCAAGGAGGGAAGGTAAAGTTGTACGAGGTCATTCCTAGGTCAGGATGTCACTGCCTCTGGGAGGCAGGGCGGTTACTTCGGGAAACCCAATCAGAACTTAAGCTCAGAACTCAGGAGCTCAATGTCACCGGCTCCATTAAGGTCTTTGTACTAGCTACAAGTGGCTGGATCTGGAGACACAGGAAGAAGTCTTAAAGGAAGATTAGTTAAGCAGGGTAAGGGTAAGTTTCTTGTATTCCAGCTAAACAATCTGGACGTTTTCCTGGTCTAGTCACTTTTCCTACTATTAACACAATAAAAGTATCACCTTTGTACTCCTCTAAGAATTTACAAAAGCATAAAAGACCCACTAGCGTCTATAATGTTCAATACTATATCCAAAGCAAGCCATAGTAACGAAAGGGAACATCGGGGAGGGCCCCCAAAAAAGCACCACAGCATCCTTAAGAATAAGGAACATGGAACTGTTACCCAAGAACAGCGACAAAATGGAGGACACGTTTGTAAAGAAAAGACTCCGCAGAAAACGCATGGGTGTAACCCAATCTCTACGGGGAAGTCGGTCTGAACGCAGGTCCTTGCGCACTATTGGCTCGACTCCCATTCATTTCCCTTTTCCATTGGCTAGCGGCTGCTTCTCCGAGTCAAGACAGCCAATCGCCTAGTGCAATGAGCAAAGCCCGTCCTTCCGTAGGAGGACGAAGCAGCCGCAAGGGCGACGAGGCGCCTGGCAGCCGCGCGGGCGCGGGCTCGGCCGGTTAAAAGCGGATCCTGGCAGGAGGCGGTGCCTTGGTGCATGAATATTGATTACGCATCGCGGCGTCCTGCGCCCGCCCCTCTCAGTTTCCGCCGCTGGCTGCTCGCGCTCGGGCTCGCGATGGGGAAGAAGTCCCGGGCGGTACCCGGCCGCAGGCCTATCCTGCAGCTCTCTCCGCCGGGCCCTCGCAGCAGCACGCCGGGCCGGGATCCCGATCCGGAACTCGACACCGAGCCGGATTCGACAGCGGCTGCGGCGCCCAGCCAGTCAGCCCCGGCGACGGTGGCAACGACGACGTCGCCCGCGGTGCCCGCCGCCGCGGCCACGGACGACTCGCCTTCGGAAGGTGAGGGCGCGCGAGGGCCTGCCCCTAGTTGGGACGTCCGAAACTGGAGCTCGGGCCTTCCGGCCTAGGCGTCCGGGCGGGAAGAGAACCCCGCACAGGCGAGGTCCGCCTCCCAGGCCTGCCCGGCCCCGGCCGCGGGGAGGGGCCGGCCAAGCAGCGCGCCCGGCCCCAGCCCACCCGGAGGCGCCACCTCTGGGGCAGGGGTCGCCCCGGGGACCCCGAGTGTACTACACGTCCCCCTCGGTTTCGATAGCGCGGAAGGAAGAGGGGAGTTCCACGTGCGGGGCCTGTGACAGTGGAACCTGGCCTTTTCTACACCGCACCTGCTTCCTTTCCTTCTAGTTCGAATGGAGATAGAGACTTTTTAGAAGCGAACAAGCCCTTTTTAGTCCAGGAAAAGCGTAAGTCCCCCCAAAACTAACAAGTATCCCCCAAATTCCTAGAGAAGTGGAGCTTGTGGGTTCCCGAGTATTGGCATGGCTGGAAAAATCACAATAAACCTACCCTCATCCCCGAACAACTAATAGAGAATAATTTTAAGAAGTCAAAGACACTGTACAACGCTGCTGTAGGCGCTAGGAAGCTGCGACCATTTCGGGTGTTCACAAGCACACTGACTCAGAAGGTGCATATTATATGGAAACCTGCAGATTGATTTGTGTGTGTTACGTTTAAATACTACAGACGTAATTTTCAGATACAGGGTTCGGTTCTTACTGCCGAAGTCACTAAGCGAATGGAAGATTTTAGTTCTTATTGTTCATTCCCCCAATTTGGGTGATACACCCTCTTTTTAAGTTGGTGAAATCTAGATCTGAAAGGTCAAACTAATGATTGATTGTCGCCTCTTAAGTTTTTTCTCTGGTCCGCAGCCTGACTGCAGTTTTCTCTTGTTCGTTTTTAAAATACAGATGAACAGGAAGTGGTGGTGGAGGTTCCCAAAGTCATTCCGAATCCTCCCAAAGCAGTCATGACCACCAGACCCACAGCCGTAAGAGCAACAGGTATAGATTTTTTGTTGTTTCTTTTACATCTTCTCTAGAATGCCTTGTATTGAGTTCAAATAGAATCCATACATAGGGTGCTGTTGGATGACTAGTTTATGTTGTTGCTAATTTATATTTCTCACGTAAAATGTAAGTTAAAATCTTTCTGGGGTCAGGGACTTGCCTAACACCCACAAGGCTCTGGGTTTGATGCTTAGCACCTCAATCACTGTCTTTGGGAGGGCTTCCTGATGAACACACACTAAACAATACAAAATTTGTTGCTGCTTTTTTTTCTGAATACCAAACATTTTCTACTACTTTCTTTTTTCTCTAACTTTTCTGCTAATGTTTTTTCCTCTGGCTCTTCTACCTACTTGCTGTTCTTTAGGGACACCAACCCATGTTTTACTTTTTGTTTTGTTCCTTTCTTAACACACTGCCTTGATTGATACCCAGCACATATTGTGGAGCTGAAAATTACTGTTATGAAATACTTTTAAGCCCAGAAAAATGTTTGCAACAGCAGTTTTGTTGACAGATCTGGGTTCAAATCATCAGTCTAACATTCACTGTAAGAATTCAGTGAATGAAGACATTAATTGGACTGAGCTTCATTCATTTATAAGATGGATCTTGTAACCCTATACAAAGTTCTGAACACAGTAAGTGGAAGAATGTTTTCTCCACTATATGTATGTCTTGAAAGATGAAAAAATACGTTTTAATACTGAGTACTAAATATCCTATACACAGTAGTAATTTTGTTTTTGGTTTAGAATACTTTTTGTACTATTTGACACTTAGATTAGATGTTTAGTCCTCTTCCCACCAGTTACCCCTTTAAAAAAAAAAAAAGTCTGGGCTAGAAAAACTAAAAATTGATTGAAATTTCAGAACTGTGGTACCTTTTTTTTTTGAGTATTCCAGAATTGTGAAGAGTGTAGAATTTAAATACTCCTAGGACAAGTTACATGATTTTTGTGTAACTTACGGTACTAGGGATGAAACCAAGGGGCCTTGCACATACTAGGCAAGCATTCTGCCGCTGACCTACATCCCCAGACCTTTGTCAGGTTTGTTTAGTTTTTTGCTTTACTGGGGTTTGAACTCTACCACTTTAACTATGCCCCCCTTACTCCTGTGTCAGGTCTTTATTTACATTGGGGACAGAAATTTAGACCAACTTCATTTAGCAATATAACAGTGTATCAGGTTTATTCAGTTCTTACCCACCAGTCGATAATGCAGAGGAAAAAGTTTGTCTAGGAAAAACCAAAGAAAGGTGATTTTCCATCATTTTCGTGGTTGTGTGTAACCAATATTAAGAGTAGCAAGAATCTACTGTTTTAGCAGAGCAGGTGGCATGTGCTTGTAGTCTCAGCACTGGAGCGGCTAAGGAGGCTCATTTGAGCCTGGGCAACATAATGGGATGCCCTCTTTGTTTTTTCGTGGTACTGCAGTTTGAACTCTGAGTCTCATGCTTGAAAAGCAGGTGCTTTACCACTTGAGTTACTCCGACAGCCGTTTTTTGTGTTGGGTATTTCCAAGATAGTCTTGTGAACTGTTTGCCCAGGCTGACTTTGAACTGTGATCTTCCTGACCTCTGCCTCCTGAGTAGCTAGGATTACAGGTGTGAACCACTGCACCTGACTTTAAAAAAAAAATTAGGGCTCGAGGAGTGCCACAAACAGTAAGAGAGGACATGCCTTGTAAGGCTCTGAGTTCAACCATCAATGCTGAAAAAAAAAAAAAATTTTAAAAAGAGGACTCAAATGCAGCGCAGTGGTAGTGATAGAGTACCTGGGCAACTTTGACAATTCAGGGTCCTGGTTTAATCTCCAGCACTGCCAAAAACCAAAACAAAAAGAATTTACTGTTTCTTTTTAAAATTATTTTAGATTACAGGATTTTGCACCCCCTACACCTTTTTTTTGATACAGCATTTCCCTATATTGCCCAGGTTGGCCTTGAACTCCATCTATATCCTCCTTGCTTCAGCTTCTTGAGTGCTGGAATTATACTGTACTTGGCTGTCTAGTAATTTTATACTGAAAAATTATGATATATGCTTGTTGAAACTACCTAAAGAAGAATTCAAAATAGGCTCTATTAGATCAGTAGATCACAAAAGTATTTAATCATCTTTGAGAAATAAGTACTTAATGTGTCTCAGTATGATTGTCAGGTTCGTGAATTCCCTGAAATTGCTGCTCAAAGTGTTTTTCTGGGAGAGGGTCTGTAGCTATCTTCTTTTTTTTTCCTTCAGTACTCATGCTTGCTAGGCAGGTGCTACCACTTGAGCCACTCCACTAGCTCTGTATTTTGCTGTTAATACTGTCTGTGATTTAAAAGACTTAAACCCACTGTTAAAACCTTGTTATGAGTTAATAAAAATTTAAGGCATAATTGACTGTTTGAAGCTTATCTGGAAGGTCAGTATGTACCTAAGAAATACTTTACTGCTGTGTGTCGTTTTTTGATTTTCAAATTGTGTGCACTGTGATATTGTGAGATATATGTTTTGTTTCTTTGGGGATCAAACCCAGGACCTGCTTTGGTAGGCAAGGAAGGGCTCTACCATGGGGCTACACTCCCATCCCTTTGTATTTGGTCTTTGTCCCTGTAAATAAAAAATTTCTAAAATCCCTGTGATTTTTTTTAAGTGGTAAATATCTTTGTATGCTAATGAATTGATTGACAGCAGCCCCTAGGTAGCTTCTGGGGTGGGGGGGCTGGCAGGATTAGGATGGGCTTGAATGGGAGTGGGCTTCTCAATCTCTGGGAAAGGAAATGGGTTGAAGATTAAGTTGATCACCAGTAGCCACTGGTTTAATCATATGTATGTCATAAAGCCTCTATAAAAACCCAAAGGATAGGGTAAAGAGCTGGGTATAGTAAGTAGCCATTGCCTGTAATCCCTTGGGAAGCAGAGGCAAGCAAATTCTAGTATTGGAGGCCAGCCTGGCTATATGGGGAGACTCTGTCTCCAAAAAATGGGGTGATGGCTGGAAGGTAAAGAGTGCTTCCACTTGTCTGAAAGCACGGGGGAGACTCTTGAAGGGTATGCCTGGAGAGGACGTGAAATGGCTGGGTCCTTTCTCCCATACACACTATGCATCTTCTCTCGTAAAAAAAAAAAAATTTTTTTTCTTTTTTCTTTTTTTTTTTTGATGGTACCAGGGTTGAACCCGAGCCTTACTGTTGCTAGGCAAGAGCTCTACCAACTTGAACCACACCCTCAACTCTTTTTGCTTTAGTGGGTTTTTTTGTTGTTCAGTTGGTTGGTTTTTTGATAGTACTGGGGTTTGAACTTTATGGTCTCACTTTATGTCTAGGTCAGCCTTGACTGCAGTCCTTCTATTTATGCTAACTGTACCAGTAGCTGTATTGGTAGTACTGCTACCAATACTGATTGAAATGGGGTCTCTCAGACTTTTTGCCTGGACTGACCTCAAATTGCAATCCTGTGGATCTATGCTTCCTGAGTGTGTTTACTGGTTTGAGCCACCAAGTTTGGCTCCTTGTAATACTCTTTTTTTTTTTTAAATCATGTATTTATTCATTTTGTTCTTTTGGTGGTGTTGGGATTTGAACTCAGGGCCTTGTTCTTGCCAGGTAAGTACCACTTGAGTCACACCTCCAGCCTGTAATACTCTTTAGAATACACTGATAAGTGTACTGTTCTGGTGAACAAGCTCTGTGAGTTGCTTTACCAAATTATTTGAATTTAAGTCAGTCAGCACAAATAAAACAATCTGGGCCTTGCAGTTGGCATTGGAAGTGGGGGCAGTATTGTGTGATGGAGTGCTCTACCTAGGAAATCTAACACTGATTGCAGATACCAGGTAATTGAATTTTTTTTTTTTTTTTTTTTTGGCTGTATGGGGTTTGAACTCAGAGCCTCACGCTTGCTAAGTAGGGCACTGTATACCACGTAAGCCTTTTTTTTGTGGTTTTTCTTTTTTCTTTTTTTTGGCAGAATTGGGGTTTGAACTCAGGGCCTCATACTTGCTAGGCAGTCCCTCTTAACCACTTGAGCCACTCCTCCAGCCCTCGTTTTGTGTTGGGTATTTTCGAGATGGGTCTCAAGAACTATTTGCCTAGGGCTGGCTTCAAGCTGAAATTTGCTAGATCTCTGCCTCCTGAGTAGCTATGATTACAGTGAGCTGTTACAGGATGGGTGCCCAGCTGAACTGAATTGAATTGAATTAGAAGAAACCCAGCAGGGTGTCCATCACAAAATTGATTGCTTGCTTGGAGGGGGAAAATATTCCATACATCTGGTGTCAGAAATGTGATATGAAGAGTATTGTAGGAGGAATTGTTTATTACATTATTCTATCTTTGAGTGGTGCTCAGAGGCTCTGTCTATCCCTGAAAAGTAAGAATGTTGAGGCCTGAGGAGTCAGCACTCAAAAAAAGACTACTGCTGGGTGCTGGTGGCTCCAGGCAGAAATCAGGAAAGTGGAGGTTGGAAGCCAGCTCTGGGCAAATAGTTTGAGAGACCCTATTTTGGAAAAAACCCATCACAAAAAGGGGTTGGTGGTGAGAGCACCTGCTAGCAAGTGTGAGGTTCTGAGTTCAAACCCCAGTGCCGCCAAAAACAACAACAACAACAACAAAAACACAACGCAAAAGCCTAGAGAAAGGCCTTCCTTCCTCAGGGTTTTTTTTTTTTTTTTTTTTGCTGGGGGACAGTACTGGGGTTTGAACTCAGGGCTTTTAGCTTGCTTGGCAGACACACTCTCCCTTCAGCCATGCCTCCAGCCCCTCTTCCCCAGTTTTTAAGTAGAAACCTTAGTACTAGTCTAATACTTGTTCATGTGAGGCTTCTGTTGATTTTTCTAATTATTAAGCCATTGTACATGGTAATACTGTGAACATTTGTTTGTGATATTCCAAATTCATGCCTCCTCTTTATCAATGTATACACTTAAATTTTAGAAGTTAAGAGAGAATGTACTTTTTTTTTTTTTTTTTTTGCAGTACTGGGGTTTGAACTCAGGGCCTCACACTTGCTAGGCAGGTGTGCTACCATCTGAGCCACTCCCCCAATCCAGAAAAGCTCTTAGATGAAGGAAAAATTAGTATATGGAGCTTTGGCCTGAGAGCTTCAGAAAGTACCCTTTGGGGCATTTTGAATGATTTGTGCTCACCTGGTTGGATCTTTGTGGGGGTGGGGTCTGGGGATCAAACCACTTGGGTCCTTTTACCAAAACAGAATTAAGGTCAATAACCTAATGATTGTCTGATTGCCTCTAAAAGACTTTTATGTAAAAAATATAAGTTTCCTAAATTTCCTAAATACTGCAGTGCAAGGTTTTTGTTTTGTTTTTATTTTTCTATTTGATGGGACTGGAATTTGAACTCAAGGCTTCAGCCTTGCAAAGCAGACACTCTGGCTTGAGGCACACTTCTGGTCCATTTTGCTCTGGTTATTTTGGAGATGGGGATTGTGGGGGATGGGGGAGGCTTGTGAACTATTTCGCCAGGCTCCCAATCTCAGCCTCCAGAGTTGTTAGGATTACAAACATCAGCCACCAGTTCCCAACTTTATGTTTACGTTTAGGTGAACCCATGGGTTCATCTATGGAATGTAGTTCTATATTACAGCCTTGTGCCGAAATAGATGTATTTGATATGAGTCACATTACGGAAAGGTCAGTGCAGCCATCCCAGTTCTTGCATCCTGCAAGAAGAATTTAGGCAAGATGCAGAAATGTAGTGAAAGTGATAGTAAAATTTATTAGGAAAGGAATACGCTTTCAATGAGACTGAAAGCGGGTCATCTCTAGGATAAGAAGACCAAGTGCTTTGTTTTTGACTTTGAAGACCTCTTTGTTTCAACTACTACACCTTAATTGACTTAGTTGCTTGAGGTGGACATCTTAATCAACAAATACTGCGTAATTTTGAGAGAGTGAGATTCAATGATTGTGTATTTTGAAAAGATGTCAAGTAGCTAGCTACATGTAGCTTTTTTTTTTTCTTTTTTTTTGAGGGGGGCGGGGACAGTACTGGGGTTTGTATTCAGTACCTACACCTGGAGCCACTCCACCAGCCCTTTTTTGTCGTGGGGTTTTATTCGAGACAGGGTCTCTCTTGAACTGTTTGTTTGGCCAGGCTTCGAAACGCAATTCTCCTGATCTTTGCCTCCAGAGTAGCTAGGATTACAGGCATGAGCCACTGGTGCTGGATTGGTTTAGTAATTTTTTTTTTTAATTATTTAGTTTGTACTAGGGATTGAACTGAGTGCCTCACACAGTATAAGTGTACACTGTAACACTGAACTACACCCCTATCCCCAGTTTAGGGATTATTTATTTGAATTTATGTTCTAATGTACAAGTTAAGCACAATGTAAGCTCTTTGGCTAAAGAATCATGGTATGTATGTATTCTCTTAGGTACTTCTTAGACATTTTGGCATTGTGGTTACTAGGATTCTCCTTTTTGTTCCTAGGCGGTCTATGTTTACTTGGTGCTTATGCTGACAGTGATGATGATGAGAGTGATGTTTCTGAAAAACCAGCACAATCCAAAGAGGCAAATGGAAACCAGTCAGCCGATATTGATAGTACACTGGCCAACTTCCTAGCGGTTAGTGCTGCTTTGGTTTGGGTTTTTAGTCGTTGAAGCCACTTAGGACCTAGGTCTTGGTCACCTTGCTTGTTGGTCTCATTGTCACTCCCTTTTTCTCCCTCTATCTCCATTTGTTTTTCCCTATTTCTCCTTTCTCTCCCTTACTGTAAAGGTTACAGTAAGAAGGAGAATGGAGGTGTTTGGGAAACTTTGTGCAATGGGAAGAGGAGAGTTTTGTGCTGAGAACTTTGAATTGAACACATAGAATTTTTCTTGTTGCTCTTTTCATTGTATAGGAGATTGATGCCATAACAGCTCCTCAGCCTGCAGTTTCTGAGGAGGCTTCTGCTCCACCTCCAACTCCACCCCGACCGGAGCCAAAGGAAGCAGCCACATCTGCTCTTTCTTCCACTACATCAAATGGGACGGACTCAACCCAAACACCAGAATGGCAGTATGATACTCAGTGTTCACTTGCAGGAGGTGAGCACAATCCCTTGTTTAAAGATGTCCTAAATGCAATCCTCAAAGGTGTGCTAGGCAGTGGAGTTCTAAAATGCAAAAGTCCACCAGGTGCCAGTGGCTCATGCCTGTTTAACCCTAGCTGTGTGGGAGGCAGAGATCAGAAGAACCACATAAGACCCTGTTTCCAAAAAATCCATCACAGAAAAGGACTGGTGGAATGGCTCAAAAGGTAAGAACACCTGCCTAGCAAGCCTGAGACTCTGTGTTCAAACCCCCAGTTCCACCAAAAAAAAAAAAAAAAAAGGTGAAAGCCCACATATTTTAGTTACTGGTTTTTGCATTCTCGCCTTTTAATTACTGTATTTGGAAGATGTTAGAGATAATGATGGTTTAGTTGGGGACCTCCCAAGTATGTGACATTATGGGCATGCTAGGGTCTTGCTACCTTTTCCCTCAGGCTCATCTTTTTTTCCTCCTTTTTGTGTATACTGGGGTTTGAACTTAGGGTCTCATGCTTGCTAGGTAGGTGCTGTAGCATTTGAGTCACTCTGTCAGACCCAACTGGTCTTAAACTGATCCTCCCAATCTGTGCTTCTCAAATAGCTGAGATTACAGGTGTGCACCACTGTACCTGAATATATTTTTTTTTCTTTTTCTGGCTGTTTTTTATTCATCTTGGCATATATCTTTGCATTTGCAAGTGTATGTGCATGCACGCTTTAGTGTACTCAGTATGTGTGTGGTGCTAGTGTGGCGCTGTGTTTTGGCAGTACTGGGGTTTGAACTCGGCCTCATGCTTGCTAGGCAGTTGCTCTACCACTTGAGCCACTCATTCAGCCTGAATAATTTTTTTAATTTGATTTTTTAAAAATGTATGTATTTATTTTTTTGAGACAGAATCTCGATATGTAACCTGAACTTGATAGGTAGCCTTGGTTGCCCTGAACTCAAAGTGCTGGGATCACAAGTGTGTTCCAGCTAATTTTTCTCTCTTAAAAAAAAGAAAAGTAAATGCTTGCCATTTTAGCCAGTAGCAGATTATGCCAGGTGAATAATAAAATCCATTATTTAAAACATTTGGGGGTTCAAAATACAGTTTTGGAATAGCAAACTGCTTTTTGTTTTTTGTGGGAGTGGGGTTTGAACTCAAGGCTTCATGCTTACAAAGCAGGCACTTTACCACTTGAGCCATTAGTACATTTTGCTCTGGTTATTTTGGAGATGGGGGTCTTGCCAGCTTTTTGCCCTGGCTGACCTCAAACAGCAATCCTTCCCTTCTCTGCCTCCCATGTAACTAGGATTATAGGCGTAAGCCACTAGTTCTCAACTGGTTGTGGGGGGTGTTGTTTCCAGGGGACATTAGAAATGTTTAAGATACTTTTGGTTGTTACTGTGCAGGGGTGTTATATCTAGTGAGTAGATACCAGGGATGTCTCTAAATACCCTGAATTTGAGAAACCTTGTGTTAGATTGTGGTAGCTTTAGAGGTGACTTGGTATAATTGTCAGAACTGTTTTGTGTGCTTCATAAAATTTTATTTTCTTCTAGTCGGAATTGAGATGGGAGATTGGCAAGAAGTCTGGGATGAGAACACGGGATGCTACTATTATTGGAACACACAAACAAATGAAGTGACTTGGGAGTTACCTCAATATCTTGCCACCCAGGTACAGGGATTGCAGCATTATCAGCCCAGGTAAGGATAGATTGAAGAAGAAATTACATAGAAGAAAGTTAGTCTTTTTTTGTACTAGAGGTATTTGCTACCTTTTTCTCTTGCTGAGTTTATTTCTTTTGTTTTTTAGTTCTGTAACAGGTGCTGAAGCTAGTTTTGTGGCTAATACAGATACATATACAAAGGAGAAAACAATTCCTGTTTCCAGTAGTAAAAGTGGACCAGTCATAGCCAAACGAGAAGTTAAAAAGGTTAGTGTTTTAACTTACAACATTAGCTTATTATCAAATTTTGATATGGTTAATATTTTGCAGAGTAAATGTGTCCTATTTCTTGGTTTTACTTCATCTAGTTCTGAGTGTTGTACAATATTTACAGCATTTTTCCAGGTACACTGTTTTTTTTAGAGCTTTAGGGTACCATAGAAACTCCTTTGATCAAGAAGGATGTGAGAAGCTGAGTGTGGTGGTGTATGCCTGGGATCCCAGCTACTGGGGAGGTGGAAGCAAGAGGATCTTGAGTTCCAGGCTGGCCCTTGAAAAGTTAGTGAGGTCCTGTCTCAAAAACAAAACACAAACAAAAGGACTACGGGTGTAGCGTAAGAAGTAGTAGAGCACTTGTCTATCATGTGCTGAGCCATGGGTTCATCTGCAGTACCATGGCAGGGGGACTTTTGGATTTTGGAGCATTTTGAAATTTTAGATTAGGGATGGTCAGCCTAGACTAGTAAAACCTCAGCATTTCTGTAGCCTCACCAATGAGAAAAGAAAGTTGTAGTCTTTAGAGAGAATGTATATTCAATTACAACTTACCTTTTTTTTGTTTTCTTTTTTTGTGGTACTGGGGTTTGAACTCAGGGCTTGGTAGGCAGGTGCTCTTCCACTTGAGCCACTCTACCAGCCTCAAATTTATCTTGATTCTGAAAGTGATGGCCAAATCCAGGGCCTCACATAGTAAACAAGAGCTGTACCACTGAGCTACGCCCCTAGCCCTAAAAGTAGTTTTTTAAACAATTTAGTCTTTACAACTCCAGGAGGGAGTCAAGACAAGTATTATCTCAATGGGAACAAAATAAAACTAAATATAATTGCACATTTAAGAATTTCACTTTCCACCTGGGCACTGGTGGCTCATGCCTGTAATCCTAGCTACTCAGGAGGTAGAGATCAGGAAGATCACAGCTCTCAGATAGCCCTGAGCAAATAGTTCTCGAGCACCTATCTCAAAAAAACCCATGACAAATAAGGGCTAGTGAAGTGGGTCAAGGTGTAGGCCCTGAGTTCAAGCCCCAGTACTGCAAAAAATAAGTAAATAAAAGAATTTCACTTTCCTCTAAATCCCTTTCAAAACACATTTGTTAAGTTTTCTCATTTTCAGAAGAAACATAAGAAGATTTATCCACTTGTGTTGATCTGGCAAAATAATTGCTTCCTACTACTCTGTCTTGACTTCTTAGCTTAGGGAAAAGATATATTTGAGTCCTACCCAGAGCTAGATTCTAGTTCAATTGCTGCCTTTAATAACATTTCCTTATGCATATGCAGTGGTACGAATACATTCAGTAATCTGTTGGTGTACGTGGGTTTGGCAAGTATTTGATGACTGAAAATAAAGTTATGGGGAACAATTATATCTAAGGGAGTTGTCTTTAGAATTAAGTCAGACTAAATGATTTTATTCTTTGTAGGAAGTAAATGAAGGTATTCAGGCTCTCTCAAACAATGAAGAGGAGAGGAAAGGAGTGGCAGCATCACTGCTTGCTCCTTTATTGCCCGAGGGAATAAAAGAGGAAGAAGAGAGATGGAGAAGAAAAGTAATTTGTAAAGAAGCAGAACCAGTTTCAGAGGTGAAAGAAGTAAGTATAGCAGCAGAAGAAGCAGTGAAGCCACCAGAAGTTATGTTGGATGGTATGGAAGATCCTTCTCAGGAGGACCTTTGCAGTGTTGTCCAATCTGGAGAAAGTGAAGAGGAAGAGGAACAAGATACCCTCGAGCTGGAGCTAGTTTTGGAAAGGAAAAAAGTAAGTTTTTGAAGTGTTAAAAGTACTTTTTTTTCCTCCCCTTATACTGTCATCCTTAGGCATCATTGCAGCCATTATTTGGATTTTGTTTTTCTTATCCCTTCCGCTATGTGTGTCTGAACTATTACAGTAAAAACTTCAACTACAAAGTTGTGGTTGTTTTGGTCTCAGATACTTTTGTAGTTGACATCCAATTAAAGGACCTTGCAACTGCCTCATCCTTCCAAGTGCTGGAGTTACAGGCATGTGCCACCATACCCTGCTGTGCCTTTCTTTTTATTTTTATTTATTTATTTATTTTTAACACTTGAGTCACTCTGCCAGCCCTTTTTTTGTGTTGGATATTTTTGAGGTGGGGACTTGCTTCCCCCCCCCCCCCCCCCCCCCCCCCCCCCCGCCTGGCCTCAATCCTGATCCACCTGATCTCTGACTCCCAAGTGGCTAGGGTTATAGGTGTGAGCCACCAGTTCCCACAATTTGTGTGTATGTGGGGGGCAGGGGATGACTAGAATTTGAACTCAGGGCTTTGCATTTGCAAATCAGGCACTCTACCTACCACTTGAGCCATTTTGCTCTGGTTGTTTTGGAAATGGGGCTCTTGAACTGTTTGCCCTGGCTGGCCTCAATCCTCCCAATTTCAGCCTCCCAAGTAGCTAGGATTACAGGCATGAGCCATGGGCACCTGGCTTATATCAGTATTTTTTACTATACTTGTTTGCTTTTGTCTTGTTTTGGTTTTGGTTTTGGTGGTACTGGGGTCTCAAGCTTGCTATGCAGGCACTGTACCACTTGAGCCACTAAACCAGCCCTTTTTGGTGTTGGGTATTTTCGGGATAGGGTCTTGCTTTTTTTTTTTTTTTTTTTTTTTTTGCCCAGGACTGGCTTTGAACCACGATCCTCCTGATCTCTGCCTCCTGAATAACTAGAATTACAGGCATGAGCCACCAGCACCTGGCTTTGTTACTATACTTGTAAATAAGTATTTGTTGAGTAGCAGTGCTATATGGATCATAATGCTCAGCTACAATAGAGAACTGTTAGAAAGTGCTTCCTGTTCTCAAAGGTTTTTAATTCTAGGAACAGGTATGGCTGTCATTCTTGCTGCCCACAGTGCTTAAATGTTGAAAAGCAGTTAATGACACAATAACTTTATTGGCCATTCTTTGTAGGCAGAGTTGCGAGCCTTGGAGGAAGGAGATGGTAGTGTGTCAGGGTCTAGTCCACGTTCTGATACCAGTCAGCCAGCATCTCAGGACGGAATGCGCAGAATTATGTCTAAAAGAGGAAAATGGAAGATGTTTGTTCGAGCTACCAGTCCAGAATCCACCAGCCGGAGTTCTAGTAAAACTGGACAAGAAACTCCAGAAAATGGAGAAACTGGTAATTCAGGCTTCACATTTAACTTTGTTTTTTTGCAGTGTTGAGAATTGAACCCTGCAGGGCCTTGCACATGTGAAGCATGCTTTGCTTCTTCAGCGCACATTAAACTTTAGAGTTGAGCGATGTGGAGGGCAAACCCTCCACTCCCATGTTTTTTACCTTTTCAGCAAAAAAGAAGGTTACACTTTATCCTTAGAGGGAAGTGCTGGGAAGGAATCTTCTACATTTCTTCTCTTCCTGTTCCACTTGTAGTAGAGGAGTAAGAGTTTGAGAGGCTAGAATACATTGGGTTGTGTATTCAATATAGAGTAGGCATTACTTCCTCAAATACAGAAAATAAGGTTGACTTTTTTTTTTTGTTGTTGTGAAAATTGCCTTGATTTGTCTAGGCCCAACAGGCTCTCCTTTGCTTACTATTTCCATCTGGTAAGAAAGGAAGGCAAGGACTGCCTCTGGGAAGTCTATCCTCATAGTTGTGGTGCTCTCTGTATATAAGTTGCCCAACCTCCATGTGGGTGGATCTTAATCCAGTCATTAGGAACCAAGTCATCTTCCTTCTCAGTAAGGTAAGGTGGAAGAGAAGGCCCTACTAGTTTTTTCACTATTGTGAGAGCTTCGAATAACGTTAATGTTTTAATCTCCATTGGCCCCCTAAATTTGTAGTTTAAAGTTAGCAGATTTGAATACCAACTCCCTGCCTGTAGAGGTGGAGATAGGAGTATAATGTTTCCCAAAGCCAGGCCATCCTGGGGGAAAGTCAGCCAGACACTTCCAAAGAACAAGCTGGGTATGGTGGTGCACACCTGTAATTCCAGGTACACAGAAGGCTTAGGATTGCAGTCCAAAGGTCAGCATGAGACCCTGTCTGAAAACTAAAGCAGAAAGGGCTGGGGGCATGACTCAAATGGTAAACCACTTGCTTAGCAAGCAAAAGGCCTTGAGTTCAAACCCTAGGACCTCCAAAAAGAAAATATTTGAGCACTAAACCTTTTTGCAGTACATTTAGCAGAAGATTCTTTTATAGGTCCTAGTTAAAAAACAAAAGGTAAAAAGTGCAGGCATTCTTGTTTGAATTTTCTGTTTGGTCAACAATGTAAGCTGAGCATGGTGGCACACATCTGTAATCCCAGACTTTTGGAGACTGAAGCAAGTATATTCCAAGTTCAACACCTCCTGTGCTGCAGAGCTGATTACAGGCAAACTTGGGCTATACAGTGATAAGCAAAACACATAGAAATGGGTCTTGTCCCTGTTTAGGCTGATATGAAACTCTTGGGCTCAACTGATCCTCCTGCCTCAGCCTCTAGAGTAGCTGAGACTGCAGCACAAGACTGCTGGTGCCCATCTAGACTGTCCAGAACTTTTAACCATTCCAGAAGGAAGTTGGGTGGTTTAAAATTCTGCTCTGATTTTTAAAAGCTTTCCACCCTGTTACCCAGCTTGATAAAGAATCCTTGTGTATCCTAAGTTTGATATCTAGTGTTTGCAGGTGATTGAAGCATTGGTGTTGAAAGAAGAGATTAGGAAAGATGGAAAAGCAGAAACTAAAACGTGGTAGAGCATGGTAAATTTTTTCATAGGCAATTCTTTGGGGGAGGGGTACTGGGATTTGAATTCAGGGTCTCACTTGTTAGGCAGCCTCCCAAGTAGCTAGGATTATAGGTGTGAGCCACTGCCAAGCTTCTGTCTATTTATTCATTTATTTTTGCATGCTTGGGTTTGAACTCGGGTCCTCACCTATTATTATAAAGCCAAGAAAAGGTATTCTTTTTTAGGTATTACAACTTTAATACAGAAGGAAAACGGGCAAAGAGGAGAGAACTGATAAGCTTGGTGTTGATCCTTTTGACTTAAATTCATGTGTTTTCTTTTGCAGCAGTTGGTGCTGAAAATTCAGAAAAGATAGATGAACATTCAGACAAAGAGATAGATACTGAAGAATCCTCAGAGAAGATAAAAGTACAGATAGCGCCAAAAGTAGAAGAAGAACAAGATTTGAAAGTATGTATTTTACATCAAGTAACAACACATTTTTTTTAAAGGCCACCATTAAACTACTTTCTGTTAGCAGTACTAAATCTTTACTCTCTCTAACCCTAAAATTTTCACTTTGTTAAGTGAAAAAGTCATTTAAAGCTAAAGTAAGTAAATTACAGGGCTGGCTTGATGGTGAGAAATTTATCTGAGATTTTAAAATACTTAACTGCATTCTTTGAAGTTAAGCCTCCTAAAAAAAAGTTTATTAATACAAGACTTCTCTAGTTAGGAAATACTAAAGAGACCAAAATTCATATTTAATTCTTACATGAATGAGTTGTCTAAACAAAGACAAATTTGGTTCCAGTTGCATCTCTAACCTAATCTCATGAGGAAAGTTAGATCAAGTGAGCATCCTTCAGTATCCATGAGGGACTGGTTCTAGTACTCCACCCCTCAGTACTGCATAGTCTGTAGATGATCAAGTCCCTTGTGTCAAGCAGAGTAGTATTGCATGTCGCCTCTGCACTTCTCCTGTGTACTTTAACCTCTAGACTACAGTACTTAATACTACATTAAGTGTAAATGTAAATATTTACACTTTTGTTGGGGGAGTGGAGGGTTGGTGTTTTTGTTTTTGGTGTTGGAGTTTGAATTCTGGGCCTTAAGCATGGTAGAAAGGTGCTCTACCACTTGAGCCACTCTGCCAGCCCTGTTTTGTTTTTTGGAGACTGAGTCTCACTATGTTGATCAGGCTGTATTAAAGTATCTTGCCTTAAAGCTGGGAACCAGTGGTTCATGCCTGTAATTCTAGCTATTCAGGAGGATTGTGGTTCAAAGCCAGCCTGGGCAAATAGTTCGCAAGACCCTGACTCAAAAAAAAAACCTCATTATAAGAAATGGGCTGGTGTGATGGCTCAAGCTGTAGGCACTGAGTTCAAACCCTGGTACTGCAAAAAAAAATATAAAGCAAAACAAAGCATCCTGCCTTGGCCTCTTGAGTGCTGGATTGCCAGTGTGCATCACCCCACCCAGCAATTACTATATTGTTTAGGAAATAATGACCCAAAAAAAGCCTATATATGCATGTACAGGCAAATTTTTTTGTCATATTTTCAATCTGTTATATAAACCACTTACCATATCATTTGACTTGAAAAGCTGATACAATCACTGGTGTAAGTGTATACCCATGAAGAAGGAACTGGGAGAATTAAATTTTATTTAAGGCCTTCGCACATGGCTATTTTAAGCAGTTAGTAATGGATAAGTCAAAATTTGGGCAATATTTGAATTTATCTTTTTTTCCCCTGCTTTTTTGCAGTATAATTAACAAAAATTGAATGTGTTTATTACCATGTGTGTTGTGATGTTTTGTTATATGTACTTGTTATATGTTTATGTTGATTATCCCAAACCCATCTTATCTATCCATTACCTTACGGTTGTTTTTTTTTTTTTTTTTTTTTTTTTTGTGGGGTGAACAATTAAGATCTCAACAAATTTCAGTTATACTATCCAGTATTGTTAAGTACAGCTACCAACAGTAAATGGAAGACTTCACATACATAATACAGAAAACAGTGCTTATTCCTCTTTTTTTCTTTCTTTCTTGGGTTACAGTTTCAGATTGGAGAACTGGCAAATACCCTGACAAGTAAATTTGAATTCCTCGGCATTAATAGACAGTCCATCTCCAACTTTCACATGCTGCTCTTACAGACTGAGGTAATTACCCATTTTTGGTATCATCTGTGTTTGAGTTAAGTTCTGTAAATAAGAATCTGTCTTTAGCTGGGAATGGTGGTACAAACTTGTAATCCTAGCTGTTGGGAGGCAGAGGATTGAGGGTTCAAGGTCATCCTGGGTTACATAGTGAAAACCCATCTCAAAAAATCCCCCTAAAATTTCTGTCTTACTTGCTTCTGAATCCTAAGTCTTAAGCTTTGCTGGAGGTAGAGCAATCGCCTAGCTGCCTGTCTAGCAAGCATGAGACTGAGTTCAAACCCTAGTACCATCAGAAACAAACAAAAATCTTAAGTTTTTTAGCCGGGCACCAGTAGTTCATGCCTGTAATCCTAGCTACTCAGGAGGCAGAGATCAGGAGGATTGCAGTTTGAACCCAGCCTGGGCAAGTAGTTCATGAGACCCTATCATGAAAAACCCTTCACAAAAAAGGCTGGTGAGGTGGCTTGAGGCGTAGGTCCTGAGTTTAAGCCCCAGTAATGATTGATTGATAGATAGATAGATAGATAGATAAAAGTGAGGGGCTATCACCTCAAGAATTACTTAATGCAGTTAAAGTATCAAAATTGTCAAGTATCAAAATTGTCAAGTATCAAAATTGTCAAGATGGTGGATTCAGAGTGAAGCGTATTTCTTCATTTTTATTTGCGGTGGTGGGGTTCAAACCTACGGCCTCACACATGCTATAGGCAAGTGCTCTACCACTGAACTACATCACTACATCACCAGTCCAGCTTTCCTTTTTTTTTTTTTTTTGGCAGTAATGGGGTTTGAATTCAGGGCCTCACTGCTTGAGCCACTCCGCCAACCATTTTTTGGCACCTAACAGCTTTCCCTTGCTTGATGAATGGTTTGGATTTACTTAACTCTCCTTCCTTACAATTCAGTGCTTAAAGTACTAAATTTATTTTTACTGTAGACTTTGTAGAAATTTTTTATTCTAGGAACTGAGAGTATAGCTCAGCTATAGAGCATCTGCTTAGCTTGTGCAACTCCCTGGGTTCCAGATTACCAATACCCCTGCCTCCAAAAAAAGAATATTAAGAATTTTATTTTAAATAAAACATTTGTAAATAGTTAAAAATTTTTTTGGAAGGTAGCTCTGACCTCAGTATCAAAGGCCTTCAACATGTGTGGGCCTGAGAGAATCTTGCTCACAGAAAATAGACGTTATTATAAGGCTAAATCATGGGGATTTATCCCAGTACCGGGGGAGGAGGGGGAGGGGAAGAATCTTAAGCTTTTAACCTTGATTTGTATTTGAATCACCAGCCCAGGAAATAAGGCTTTATTTGTCAAAAATAAAATATAATTATGAAGGTAAATACTGCGTTGATGTATAATGGTTATACTACTACCTTCAGTAGGCATAAATTCAATGGATTTTTCAACAGATTGAAATTGTGTTCATAATACAACCTATCAGTACTATTTATGATAGTCAGACAAAGCCGTGTATGTAGCATTGAAAATACTTTTATCTGTGGGACTGGGGTTTGACCTCAGGGCTTTGCACTTGCAAAGTAGGCACTGTAGTGCTTGAGCCACACTTCCAGTCCATTAAGCTCTGGTTTTTGGGGGAGAGCAGTATTGGTGTTGGATAGACAGGGCCTGACACTTGATAGGCAGCCACTCTGCCAGCTGGCTCTGGTTATTTTGGAGATGGCGGTTGGCCTCAAACTGTGATCCCTCCTGATCTCAGCCCCCAACTAGCTGGGATTATAGGCGTGAGGCACTTGTGCCTGGGTGTGCATACTTTATAATTGCTATAGCATTATGAATCTGTTTAAAGAAATGAGACCTATTTATAAACTGCATATTTTGATAATGGTGGAGTAGGGCTAAGTAAGGAACTCATAGGGAGCTGTCTGATTTCCCTAAGGATTGAATCTTTTTTCTTCCTTTCTTTATGTCTTTCTTTTTTTGGTGGTGGGGGGAAGCTATGCTCAGGATCGAAGTAAGGGTCTTACGAATTTATGCTAGGCAAGTGTTCCACCATTGAGCTAAATCCCTAACCCAGAAATGAACCTTTGATTTTGATTAATAACACTACTGAATTAGAAGAGCCATCTTACGGGGGCGGGGGGAGCAGTTTGAAATGATCAGTCTTGTTACTAAGTCCAAAGTGGAACTGCTGCTCATTTGCAGATAGTAGCAGGTTGGCAGTATAAAAATGTACTGGAATCCATTCTCATTTTTCAGAAGTCTGCAGTGCAAATAAGATTTATCAAAAGCCCTGAGTTCAAACCCCAGTACCACCCTGGAGGGAAGAAAGATTGTTTTATGAATTAAGATGGAATTTCTCCTCTTTGGTCTACTTTTCTGCCAGAGTCTTGGAATAGAAAACTTAAATGTTCCTTGTTCCTTTTGCTTCTGTCTCCTGACATAGTAAGTCTAATTTCTTGATTGATTCTAGACTCGAATTGCAGACTGGCGGGAAGGGGCTCTTAATGGAAACTACCTTAAACGAAAACTTCAGGATGCAGCAGAACAACTAAAACAGTATGAAATAAACGCCACTCCTAAAGGCTGGTCCTGCCACTGGGACAGGTACGCACTCTTCTCCCCTTTTCACCTTTCACCTTTGACATCTCAGACATGATTTGTGATCACCACCACCTGACGACCTGACAGCCTGTCTGGAGACTGAGAGCAGCTACAGTTAGCGGTGTTGGGCAGGCAAAGCACCGCAAGCACAGAGTTTGGCCAGCCACACATTGGAGAAACAAAAAGCAGTGTTTAAAGTGTTCCATGTAACGGATTTTTTCCCAAGATTGGACAAAGCCGGTTTTTACTCCAGAGTGTTGCACGGAGTAGGGCGGGCTTGGGGGTTAAGCGCATGCGAGAGCTCTGTGCGCTTTACAGGACCTCTGGAAGCAACTACTCCTGATTAACCTCGGTGAAGTTAAGGAAAACTTCGTGACTGAAGATGTGAATGAAGAACAAGATTACTATCCTCTGCCAGCAGGTCAGATGAAAACATTTCCTTTTATATTTGGCTTTTCTTGATTTTTTTTTTCGTTATTTGAAATCTTTGCTCTTTTATTTTTCAGCTCCCAGATCCTCTCCCTCTCTTTAGCTTTCACTGTGTTTGATATCAAGAATATGAAATGTGAATTCCACGGTCCAAGAGGGGAAGAATCACCTTTCACAAACTTCGTTGTTCTCTTCTTTGGAAGGGAAATTAGTGTTCTAGGCGATTGAGTCCCTTCATTAATGAAACTTGGAACCCTGTTATGCATTGGCAAAAACAAAAAAAGATGTTTTCTAAATCATCTGTTGGAGAGGGCTCAGGGCTGTATTCACAGAGCTGCTGGCAGTGCAAATAGCTTTGAATTAATCCTGGGTTCTTCATCCTCAATTGTCAAAGCTCTTTGTTGCCTTTGTGAATAGCAGTCCATAAGAAGAGGTTCGTCCCTGTGAGAGCAGACTGCTGTCCTGGGACAGGACCAAATGGAAGTGTCTTTGTAGGAGAGTGGATTTTAAAACATGTGTTTTCTTTCTTGTAATTTAGGGATCATAGACGATATTTCTATGTAAACGAACAGTCGGGCGAGTCTCAGTGGGAATTCCCAGATGGTGAGGAGGAAGAAGAAAGCCAAGCACAAGAAAGTAGAGACCAGACTCTTCCTAAACCAACCTTGAAAGACAAATCTGGCACTGATACAAATTCTTCAGAATCCTCTGAGAATTCCACAGGTGGGATAGTTTACTCTACTAGTTCAACTGATTTTAGAGGGAAAAAAAATTAATTTTTATTACAGAAGAAAAAAATTACATCATAATAATATAAGCTAATTTAAAAAGACCAACTTGAACTGAAAGAATGCATTTGATGTAGTGAAGACATCAAGGGCTTGTCTGGTGGAAGTCAGAATACTTTATATCATACTCTTCCCAAAGAGTCTCTGTCATGTCACAGAGAAAGCTATGTGTCTCCAAAAACAGGGATGGTAATATAGGGATTAGATAGTTGAACTTGCCAATATCTGTGTAATGACTCATCACATTTAGGGCACAGAGGAAATGAGTTATATGCTTTTTTTTTTTTCTTAATAGGCTTTCATATCTCCTTAGTTACTCTGAGAATCTAATTAGCTCTTCAGAAGAGCCATAACTTGCCACTTTATACAAGTTTTTTTTCCCAAGGCCTATTTTTCTTAGAATGACAAAATAAATGAATTATGAAACATAATGAGCAAGACTAACAGCATCCTTTGATCTTACAAGCTGGTAATAGCTGAACATAGTGGCTTATCTTAGTGGCCATCACTCACTGAAGGCTGAAACAGGAGGGTCAAAGGTTTGAAGCCTGCCTGAAAGTGGTGGGGTACCAAATGATTTTGTTAACTTCTTAAATAGCCCAGATAAAAACATCATCAGTCATCTTAAATTAAAAAGCTCCTCAAAAATGGAGTGATAATTTTAGAACACAGCAAAAAAGTGGTTTTATTCTGTTTAATCTTTCAGAAGTATATTTTCTCAAGTTATAGGGTATATCACTTTTTCATGAATATTTTATTTTGTATGCTTTCCCTCTCTGGTAGCAGTAATACATATGCCTAATTATAGATTTTTTTTTTCTTGTTTGCCTTATAATAGGTAATGAACTAAAGAGGATTGTGATTCTGAGTAGATGTTACCATTTCTGACCACTGTCTGATGTTCCTTTTTTTGGCAGTACTGGGGTTTGAATTCAGGGCTTCATGTTTGCCAGGAAGGCACTCTTATCACCTGAGCCACTCTGCCAGCCCTTTCTGCCCAGGCTGACAGTCATCCTGATCTCTCCCTCCTAAGTAGTTAGGATTACAGGCATGAGCCACCAGTACCCAACACTAACTCTTAAGTGTTCTGTGATCACTTTAGAGTTACGCATTAAGCTATTTTTCCATATGATGCACATGATTAATACTGTGTGGTAAAAGGTACATCTTGAGCCATTTATCTGATTATAACAAAGCAGGTTGTGATATAGAGGGAAACCATGAATAAACAGTCCTCCAGTCTTAAACTTTTTTTTTTTTTTCCCAAACCTATTTTTTATTGAGAGTCCTTAGAACATGATAAACTTGATTTAGGTAAAATCCAAATCTTATACTAGAGACTATGGACTTTAAAAGCAATACTGATCACTTTGAAGCCTGTAATACACATAATGTGTGTATATTCTTCGTTGGCTCAAACCAGCGAACCAAAAGATGGTGACTAAAACCATCTTTTGAAAAAGAAAAATTGGACCTGACGGTTTAGCTCAGTGGTAGTTTGTGCTTAGTATGCATAAAGTCCCTGGTTTAATCCATAGCACCACCCAAAAAAAAGAAAAATTACTATACTGAGGAGCCAGAGAAGTTTCAAGTTTAGTCCTTGCTCAGATGATACAGTATTTGAGTTTAACAACATATTTCTAGAGATAAGGTATCTAACATGTTTTTTGTTGGGCTTATGTCACTTAGGTTAAATCTAGCTACATTAAACTGGCTTCTTAATTCAAAATCCTAAGTGGTAAGTGTGGATAAATAAAGGAAAGAAAGCTGCCTATAAATAGAAATTATAATGCCTGGGGAAAAAAAGGCCTTGAAGAATTGATCATTTATATCCCCATACCGTTCTTTCTTTAAGCATAAAAGTTACATGTGCCACTTTAATCTGTCCTTGAAGTTCAGAATTTAAATACTCTCTTACATGGCAAAAATACCCAGTGAACTAAATTTGGAAACTAGGAAAAGTGTGATTTGTAATATACATCTGTGATACTCACACTACATTTTTTTTAACTTAAGCTAAAGGAAATAATTGTTAATATTTAAGGAGCAGCTTTGTATTTGAACTTAGTTCACACTGTATGTATTACAAAAATGTTCCTTATTTGTGGCTAAATTTATCGAGAGGCTTTTAATCTCAATGACTTACACAGTGTGTAGTGAATTCTGACTAGCTCTCTGAACGACATAAACTACATCATTAACCTTGAACCTACTGTGTTCCCTTGTTTCTCTGAATAGCAGCATGTTACTATCATAAGTGTACTGGTATTGCATGATGCTTCTAGTTGAGAATCCTAGGATTATCAAGTTTGACATAGCTACTCATTCACAGTATGTTGTGGCTAATTTAGTAGAAGGGAGTTTAGTCCTTAATAACTTAGTTATTGATCTTTAATATTTATATTATTTTGATATAGTGTTAGGTAGTGCAGGCTTCCTATCCATACCCAGACTGTCTCAAAATTAGCATATAAATTAACATTATTCAGGGTCAAAATATAAAAATTTAATGTGTCCTTTGATTCTTTTAGCTGGAAAAGTGCATTCATGTTTTCTCTGCTAAAAGTTTTTTCAATACCCTTTTCCTTAGTAAGGCACAGTTTCAAAATAATTACAGAGAGGGGCACTGGTGGCTTACGCCTATAATCCTAGCTTCTCAGGAGGCAGATATCAGGAGGATCGAAGTTTGAAACCAGCCCTGGGCAAATAGTTTGTGACACCCTGTCTCAAAAATACCCAACACAAAAAATAGTACTGTCAGAGTGGCTCAAGTAATAGAGTGCCTGCCTAGCAATTATGAGGCCCTGAGTTCAAACCCCAGTGTCTCCAAGAAAAAATATATATATGTTATGGAAATAATGTGAATCATAAAGTCTCTTAGGCAGTATCATTTGTTCCATAAAAAAATGAAGCTACTCTAAAGGCAAGACTTTTGGTCTCATTTTGTCTTGTCAAGTGCAAATGCAAAGTAACATAAATGGCTTTCACCTTGCTCTCAAGCCTGTCATTATAGAGCCTTAATCTATTGCTTTTGACCATGAAATTTGACAGTTGCCTACATCTGGATATCTATTAGAATGAGATTTTTAAAGCTCTTAAACTCCTGGTATTTCATCAGGGCTGCTTGGTAAAATAGGAAGTATTAGGCTAGGAGTTAAACCTTATCTCTAACTCTGGCCTGGTCTCTTTAACAGCTTATGTGATCTAGGGCAAGTCAGTTCCTGCCTGGGTTTCATTACCTTTAAAATGAGGAGGTTGAACTAGATAATTTCTCATGTCTCTTCTACTCCTAAATTCTATGATTTTAGGGAGAAAAATCCCCTCAACATTCCTGGGATATATATCTAATAGTCCCATATATTGTGAAACTTCCCTATTGACGATAAAGAGGGATGGGGAAGGCTACAAGTAAGTATATCCTCCTATTTTCTCTAATCTTTAAAAAGCTTTTCCCAGCAGAGAAATGAGTGTTCAATAATAGCTTTTGTGAAATTTGTGGAAAGTTGACCTACAGCTTTTCATTTGTAATTTCTTAAACTTCAACAATGGCAATTTCAAATCCTTTGTGTCTTTAATACCTTTTTAAAAAATCTCATTGACCTTAAAGATTTGTCCTCCTAAATTTCCGCTTTATCATCACAAAACCAAAAGTTACCCTCCCCTCACTTTTATTGCTGTGATTAAGCAAATTAATGTAATTTACACGAGATGTGAAGGAATGACAAATTTGACATTAGCACCTTGCAAATGGAATTTTAAAAGTACTGACCCAGATTAAGCTGGGTGTGGTGGTGCACTATCTGTAATCCCAGCACTTGGAAGCCAGAGGCAGGAGGATTGTGAGTTTGAGGCCAACCTAGGCTACACAGCAAGACTAACTTAAAACAACAGCAGCAAAAACCTCTAGAAATGCAGATTATCAAGATGGGGGGAATTTTTGTGAGTGTTTTGGATGGGTACTTAGCTATATCATCCCCATTCACTTTACCTTGCTCACTAAAAATACGTGGAATCAGTATAATGCACATATGTACTATTTACTTAACTCTTCTAAAATAAAATAAAAAAGGACCCCTAGAAAATTGCATTCTTGTTACATATGTTGAAACTGAATGTTTGAAATGAAAAATTCCTTCTGTGCCTGTATTAGTATGATCTCATCTGAAATCAAAATTTCCAAACTACAGATTCAATGACCAAATTTTTCACCAAGTTAAAGTAATATTCTTCATTTACTTATCCGTAAATCTGGACCCAAAGAACAAGACTTGTATAACACAGCTGGGAAAAGTGCTGTGAGTGTTATAAATTAACCTTTCCATGGAAGTTGTTTCTGAACTGAGTTGGTTTACTATTTTAGTGATAACAGTGTAAAATAGATGTCTGTGGGTCAGATTTTTGTTAGGAAAGGGAGAGCTGTTGCCTGCTGTTTGAAACTGCTTGTCTCACCGATCAGTTGAACACTGTTACAAATACTAGCCATAAGAGTTTTTGTCTTGATTTTTCCCTGACTCCTATCTGTTTTCATAGGTTCTCTTTGTAAAGAATCCTTTTCTGGTCAAGTTTCTTCTTCATCACTCATGCCACTTACTCCTTTCTGGACCCTCCTTCAGTCAAATGTGCCTGTGCTTCAACCCCCGTTACCTTTGGAAATGCCACCACCTCCACCTCCACCCCCAGAATCCCCTCCTCCCCCACCTCCCCCACCTCCTCCTATTGAAGATGGGGAAATCCAGGAGGTAGAAATGGAGGATGAGGGAAATGAGGAGCCTCCTGCCCCAGGAACAGAGGAAGACACTCCTTTGAAACCAGCAGCACAAGCCACAGTTGTAACTAGCCAGGTAATTAATGCCCTTGGCATTCTTGATGGTTATGGGGATTGGAAAATGATTAACATCGTATTTTACTTTATAAGACTGTGTTTAACTAGGGCCATCAGCAATTGACAAGAATGTTTGTGTTTCAGAATTCAGTTGATTCTGCCATCTGTAGTTCTCCTTCCACTAAAGCAATAAAGAGAAAAGCTACAGAAATTAGTACAGCAGTGGTTCAGAGATCGGCTACCATTGGTAGTTCTCCAGTTCTCTACAGCCAGTCAGCTATAGCTACAGGTAAGCATCCATCTATCGTTGGTTTGTTTCAGCATTAGATGCTGTAAGTTGAAGAAATATTAAAGGGTTTGATTGAAGATTGTTTATAATATGAATAGTTATTTTAAAAAATTTAAAAATAAAAAAAAAGATTGTTTATATGCATTTCTTCCTGTTATTAAAAACCACCATTAAAACAGCTTGACATACCCTTTCAGATTATTTTCTGTGCATTTAAATACATCAGGGATTTTGATGTTTAAGTACCTTAATGTTAAAATACTCAAATTAATATTCTGCTGCCAGCAAATAGGGCTATATTTTTTGAGGGAAAGTTTCATTAGAATCATTTTGTAAGTGATCTAACCTCCAGTTCTTTCTTCCTTGCCTCCATTATTGTCAGTGTCCTTTTTTATAGTGTCATTTTCTTTCCTGGGTAGGTCACCAGGCAACAGGGATTGGACACCAAGCTACAGGAATTGTACACCAAGCAGTATCAGTTAGCCATTCAACTGCAGGGATGAGTCATCAGGCCAGAGGAATGAGCTTACAGTCAAATTACCTTGGATTAGCAGCAGCACCTACAATTATGAGTTATGCTGAATGTTCTGTCCCAATTGGAGTAACTGCTTCCTCAGTGCAGCCAGTCCAGGCCCGAGGTACTGTGCCAGCCACTGCCATTATAGAACCACCACCACCTCCTCCTCCTCCTCCTACTCCTACACCACCACCGCCACCACCAGCTCCCAAAATGCCACCACCAGAGAAGACAAAAAAAGGAAAGAAAGATAAGGTGAACTTCTTTTTTTTTTTAATTTGTATTAAATCGATACCCGCCTATCATAAAGTTTACCATTAAAAATATCCCATCTAATACCTTCATAATGTTGTGCAATCACCACCTCTAAGTTACAAAACATTTTCATTTCCCCAAAAGAATACCCTGTACCCATTAAGAAGCCACTGCCTGGGGGGGTAGGGGGAAGAAATGACCCAAACATTGTATGCACATATGAATAAACGGAAAAAAAAAAAGCCACTGCCTTTTGTCCCGATCTACATATCCCGGTAATCACTTCTTTCTACCTCTGAATTTACTGTTTTGTGTAGTTCATATAAACAAAATTATGGAATATGTGGTCTTTTGTGTCTAGATTTCTTCCCTTAGCATAACATTTTCAAGGTTCTTGCACTTAATTTTTCTTTTCTAGGGGGTCTGTCACTGGGATTTGAACTCAGGGCCTACACCTTGAGCCACTCCACCAGCCCTTTTTTGTTATGGTTTTTGCCTGTGATGGCTTTGAACCTTGACCCTCCTGATCTCTGACTCCTGAGTAGCTAGGATTACAGGCTTTAGCCACCTGTGTCTGGTAATAAAGTTAGATTCTTACTTATTTTTGTTTTCCTTTGGCAGGAGGTGAGGCTTCAACTCAGGACCTCACACTTGCTAGGCTTTGCTAAGCAGACACTATTACTTGAGCCACTCCACCAGCACTGCTTGCACTTAATTCTTTCTGTGGCTAAGTAGGTTGTATGTATGCTATAATTTGTTTATCCTTCCAGTACATAATAAACATTTGGATTTTTTTCTGCCTTTTGGCTATTATGAATAATGTACAACTATTGAGTACCTGCTTTTAGTTCTTCAGATGCATTTTTATTATTTCCTTGATTTGTTATTTTCCTTGATTTTGTTTTGTTTTTTATCATGCCCATCCTAGTAAGTATGAAGAGGTATCTCATTGTGATTTGATTTCATTTCTCTAGTGACTAATGATATTGAACATTTATTCAGATTCTTGTTGGCCATTTATGCATCTTTGGAGAAATGACTCTTTAGCTACTTTGTCCTTTTTTAAAATTGGATTATCTCTTTGTTTTGATTTAACAAGAGTTTTATGTAAATTCTAGATACAAGTGCCTTATAATATGGTTTGAAACTTTCTTCTTTGTCTTTGGTTTATCCATCTGCCTTCCTCGCATCTTTTTTGTTTGTTTGTTTTTGTTTTTGGTGGTACTAGGGTTTGAACTCAGGTCCTCATGCTTGCTAGGCAAGTGCTTTGCCACTTGAGCCATGGCCCCCAGCCCTCGCCTCATCTTTTGAAGAGCAAAAGTTAAATTTAGATACAGTCCAATTAAGAGTTTTGTAGTTCTATAACTGATATTTAGGGCTAGAGGCGTGGCGTAAGTGTAGAGTGCTTGAGTTCAAACTCCTGAACTTCTCCTTCAAAAAAAAAAAAATTAAAAGACCATAGATCTATTTTTGATTGATTTCTACCCCACCCTTTCCTCCCCAATATGATACAAAATAGAGATCCTACTTTTTTTTTAAAGTAGTAATGTGGTTTGAACTCTCAGGGCCACTTGCTTAGCTCCATTCTTTGGCACATATATAGCCAGGTTTCCAGCACCAGTTGTTGAATGGGCCATACTTTGCTCATTAAACAGCTCTGTCATCCTTGTCAAGTCATCTGACCATAAATGTATTGGTTTATTTCTGAACTTTCCATTCTGTTCCACTGACCAACATGCTGATCCTCGGGTTGATATTATGACTATGCTACTTTGAGGACTGTAGCTTGGAAGTTTTTTGGTTTTGTTTTTTGTTTTTTTGCAGTATTTGGGTCAGGGCCTTCACCTTGAGCCACTCTACCGGCCCTATTTTTTGTGAAGGGTTTTTCGAGATAGGGTCTTGCAAACTGTTTTTCCCAGACTGTCTTTGAACCTTAATTCTCTTGATCTCTGCCTCCCGAGTAGCTAGGAGTACAGGCATGAGCCACTGGCACCTGGCAGTAGTATGGTTTTAAATTGGGAAGTGTGTGTCTTTCAACTTTGTATTTCATTTTCAACATTAGATATTCAAGACTCTTTACAGTAAAATCTCATAAAATTTGAGTCACCTTTTCCATTTCTGCATCAAAAGCCGTTAGAAATTTTTTTTTATGGGACTGGGACTTGAACTCAGGGCTTCACATTTGGAGGCGCTCTAGCATTTGAGCCACACCTCCAATCCACTTTGCTCTGATTATTTTGGAGATGGAGTCTCGGGAACTATTTGCCTAGACTGTCCTCAAACCTCAGTCTACCCTATCTCAGCCTCGCAAGTAGCTAGGATCGTAGGTGTGAGCCATCGGCACCACGTTCCATTAGAATTTTTTTACTTACTTATTTTTTGAGTGTTACTAGGGGCTTGAATTCAGAGCCTTATGCTTGCTAGGCAGGCGCTCTAACACCCTGTCAGCCCTAGAATTCTTTCAAGGCTATTAGAATTACATTTAATTTTATTTCTTGTTAAGTACTGCCATCTTACCAAACTAAACTAACCCATATTTAAAGCAAGTATGGTGGTGCACACATATAAGTCAAGCACTCAGAAAGATAGGAAGGCTAAAGGAAAATTTTCTGACCAGGCTTAATAAAATAATCATATTTGTAAAGTCTACTAATTCCTTAGAATCAGGAAAAAGTCTTGATCTCCAAAGTAGAGAATCCAGTTTCTATTTTATGCATTGTATTCCTTCTGAATATAACTTTTGTTATAGGCAAAGAAAAGTAAAACCAAAATGCCCTCTTTGGTAAAGAAGTGGCAGAGTATCCAGCGAGAGTTAGATGAAGAAGAGAACTCGAGCTCCAGTGAAGAGGACCGGGAATCAACTGCACAAAAGCGAATTGAAGAGTGGAAACAGCAGCAGCTGGTCAGGTAAAAGAAAAACCATCACAGTTGAGGGATTGGTGGTGGTGGTGGTTGTCTTAGAACAGTCATACTCATTATAGCTCTTGATAGAGAATAAACTGGCTTTTGTTTGGAAACTTGAACCATTTTCATGAATAGGCATGATAGATCAGGTTTTCTGTTTGTTAGAGGTTTCTATTTGCTAGAAAATGCAGTTTTTTTTTCTTTCCATTGATGTATATGTGTTTTTCACAGTGGCATGGCAGAAAGAAATGCTAATTTTGAAGCTCTTCCAGAGGATTGGCGAGCAAGACTGAAAAGAAGGAAAATGGCTCCAAACACTTAGTTTAAAATTAAAAAAAAAAAGTTTGTTTTGTGTTGAGTCTTAACCAGTTTTACTGTTGTCAAATAAACGATAAATGTTATGGGGGAGAGCATATACATTTTTTGGGCAAGAGTGTACACAAAGTTGTTCATTGGTAAAATGTAACTTTACTGTTTGCTGAAGGTGAGGTGATTGGAATTGCTTTGACTTGGCTGCCTTTATTTTCTCACATTGGCAATCTTAGCATGTTAGGTATCAGTCTATCTTGATGAACATGTGGCTTTGTGAGTATGACACCTCACTAGAGGACTTCTTGACAAAAAGTGAAGGATTTTCCTGCCTAATAGAGGCTCATTTAGTTCCTTGTGTGGCACGCTCTCTCTCTCATTAACTTCTACTCCAGAACAAGTGCAATTAAGAAGGCAGCTCTGTATTCTACTTTGATTGACTGTGACTGTCAAGATCTCTAGTTGACCTCTTCCTCTAGTCTGCTGCTGATGAGGTGTTGAGATCTGTCAAGATGTGTTGATGGCCACACTCTTTAGAGTAGATCTTTCTCAACAAATCCCAGAACTTAGACATTTTACATACTAGGTGGCATATTTAAAATTTAAATATAGGCAGGAATAGCAGCAGCAGGTTTTCATGTCCTTAATTTTGAGAAATTCCCCCCCTAAGTATATGGCAGCAGGTGTAACAATAGCTACTCTGTGTATTGTGTCTCCCTTGTCTTACTCTTCCAAAATTCACCTCCCTTCTGTGTGTGAATGTATTCTCCATAAAATTCCAGTATTTAAAAAGCAGTTTACTGTTCTGTACTTTCTATTGTATCACAATCAGGTAAAGTCACTTTAAACTGAAGAAAAAGCAAATTGTGTTTTAAAGCTGTTTGTATTTCTCCAGTTTCAACCATGTAAATTTGTATATATGCACTAATAAAGCTCTTTTTATACTTCTGATTGGTTATCCTTTGCTGTTCTAAGTCTGATACTCCACAATTACATAGCCTGGACTTTGTCAATTCTTAATTTTTTTTTTTTCCTAGTCAAATGTGCTGTACAAGGCATGCACAAAAACTGACCAGCATTTCAGGAAAAAGTAGTAGGATCTTGGGGTTGGAGGCAGGGTTAGAATATCAGGCTTTTAGCACTAGATGGTGCTGTGTGATCTATTTTTGGAGCTTGTACCTTATTTATAAAATCTGATCTGTTTAAGTCTTGGAAATGATGTAATGTGGTTAACATTCTGAAAAAATAAAGGTGCTTTATAGCTTTTTAGTAATATATACTTACGGTTACATACAGTTAACCAAAGAACAGTAATTTACATTCTATTTCAGTATATTCTTATGCATACAATTTTTTATTTGATTAGTGTCATGTGACAGTTACTGGATTTTATTTACCATAATGCTAATGTTGGGATGCCTCTCTTATATGTAATATTATTTGCATAAATTTCTGCAAATAAATTAAAGGTTACCAACTAGCAATTAAAAGCTTGTCTTAATTACCCGCCACTTTTCCAGACTTAGAGGAATGCTACATAGCACCAGCACTTCCTGATCATGCTACTAAATACAGCATCTAAGAAATCTGTCCTACTTTAAAGCAACAGAAGCCAATAGGAGAAGGGGACCAGGAACTAGAGAAAAGGTTAGATCAAAAAGAATTAACCTAGAAGGTAACACCCACGCACAGGAAATCAATGTGAGTCAATGCCCTGTATAGCTATCCTTATCTCAACCAGCAAAAACCCTTGTTCCTTCCTATTATTGCTTATACTCTCTCTACAACAAAATTAGAAATAAGGGCAAAATAGTTTCTGCCGGGTGCAAGGGGATGGGGGGAGAGGAAGGGGGCGGGGGGTTTAAGAAGTGGGGAGAAAAGACCCAAACATTCTATGCACATACGAGTAAAAAAAAAAAATCTGCCTGTTAGGCTAGAGGTGTGGCTCGAGGGTGGAGTGCTTAAAACTTGCCATTGTGGTAGGTGAGTGTGGTTTTGGATTTCTCAGCTTTGTTTTAATTTTTCCTTCTGGCTAATGGGTCTGGTAGAGAAATACAAGGTTAAAGGAAAAGGGAAGTTTCAACTTCCCTTAGCAGTAAGCACCTAGAATTGAGAAGTAAGCGAGCTCAGAAGTTTGTTGAACACCGCTGGCCCTGCCCTTATCAGCACAACTTCGGTTCTGGGTTGAGGAAATAAAATTACGAACTGAAGAGTGAATCGAGCCACTGCCATGCCTACGGCGGCTGCCCCGCCCTTCCGCTTCCGGCTTGCGGTTGCTAGGCTACCGGGCGCTCGCAGAAAGTGGCCTGGGAGTTCGGCTCGCCGGTCCTGGGCTCCTGCCGCGCCCACCTCTCAGTTCTGGCCCTCGACCGGTCCGGGCGCAGGGGCAGTAGCGCCCTTGAATTTGCCCGCAAAGACACCTACGCACCCCTCTTAACCCGGCCCTCCAGGGAACCCCTGCAACGCGTCCTCGGACGAGGTGGCTCAGAATTCCTGAATTCCGTTTTCAGGGCCCACGCCTGGGATCCTTGACCTGTCAACTGCTCGAGGCCGCTCTGCCTCGTGCCCATCCCATTTCTTTCGTCTGTGGCGTCCTGGTGTTGGGCAGCTTCCTCTGGGTGAGAGCGAAGCATGGGGCCCGCGAGGGTCCTCGCTTCGCGAGGTGGAGGCGGGAAGACGCGCCGCCCGGCTTCGGCGTCCGGGTGGGAAGCACCCGCGGCCGCGGCCTCCTCTGATTCTGGGAGGGGAGCGGGGCAGTGTGCGTGTGGAAGGGCGGTGAAGGCGTGTTCTCACCTGTCCTCTTGCGATTCGTAGCTGCTGTGTAACCAGCTACACCGACTGGCCTTCAGCATACCATGCGAGATTAGCATGTTCCCCGCACTGGAAACAGAGCTGAAGCAGGAGGTCGGTTCGCACCGCCCCGCAGAACTCCACAGAAACCCAGCCCTAGATCAGAAGGTACATTCTGGTGAAGGCACCCTTGCCCAGCTGGAGACCTTAGTACCCTTGGTGGAATAATTCGCAGGGACTTCTTGGTTTGTGTGCAGAAGTCCTTAGATACAATGTCCTAAGCAACAGTGCTTGGCACTTTCTGTTAAGAATTCACTATCATTTGAAAGAACTTTTTTTTTTTTGGTGGGACTGGTATTTGAATTCAGGATTTTGCGCTTGCAAAGGAGGCATTCTACCGCTTGAACCACACCTGCCGTTCCTTTTGCGATAGCTATTTGGAAATGGAGGGGGGAGTTCTCCAGAACTATTTGCCCGGGCTGGCCTTGAACCCCAATTCTCCCAATCTCAGCCTCCCAGGTAACTAGGATTACAGTTACTTGGGAGGTGTGAGCCACTGGCACCTCTCTAGAACTTTAATGATTGAAATGGCCTTTCTGACTCTTACAGACTCTTCCTGATCCCTACGAGGACTTTATGTATCATCACCTCCAGTATTATGGCTATTTTAAAGGTAATACTTCATTCTTTATGAAGTAATGAATTGTTTCATTAACTGAGAGAGTTGTGTTTGAACAGACTAATAAATTTTCTAGTCATTGAGGGAAAGTACTTTCTACCTCCATTGATCTGCTATGTGACCTGTCAAGTAATGGACTTGCTTTATACAATACAGGTCTGTTCTAAGATTTCTGTTACATTGGTCTGTTTATCTGTGCACAAATTCCACCATCTCTTAATTACTAATGACATTAAAATAGTCTTTTTTGAGACAGGGTCTTGCTATGTAGCCCAGGCTGGCATCAAAATCATGATCCTCCTGCCTCCACTTCCTCAACCTAGGATTATAGGCATGTACCACATCTGGCTTAAAATTTTTATTTTTACTTATTTATTTTTGTGGTACTGGGGCTTGAACTCAGGGCCTACACCTTGAGCCACTCCACCAACCCTTTTTTTTGTGTTGTTTTTTTTTTTCGAGATAGGATCTCGCAAACTACTTTGCCCGGACTGGCTTTGACTGGCTTTGAACTGTGATCCTCCTGATCGCTGCCTCCTGAGTAGCTAGGATTACAGATGTGAGCCACCAGCACCCAACTACCTGGCTAACTTTTTGAAAAATTAAAAAATTAGTGGGCTGGGTTCTGGTGGCTCATACTTGTAATCCTAACCACTAGAGAGGTTAAGATGGGGAGGATTGTGGTTTGAGGCCAGCCCAGACAAAAAAGTTCTCAAGACCCCCATCTCATCCAATAGCTGAACACAGTGTCACACCTGTCAGCCCAGCTAGAAAGGGCAGCAATAAAATAGTAGGATCAAGGTCCAGGCCAGCCTGGGCAAAAAATGAGATCCTATCTCCAAAATAACCGGAGCAAAAAGAACTGGAGGTGTGGCTCAAGCAATAGAGGGCTTGCTTAGAGGGCCTTCAGGTGTGTGAAGCCCTGAGTTCAAACCCCAGTATGCAAAAATAAATAAATAAAATAATTGGGACTGTATTGAATCTATAAATCAAATTTTACAAAAAGTGACAGCTTTCTAATAGTTGGTTCCCCAATCTCTGAATATAGTATATTGCTCTATTTACTTAGATTTTCTTTAATGTCTCCTAATAAAGATTTTTTTCATAGTACTTTTGTAATATTATATTATCTCTGTTTTGTTTTTTTTTTTGCAGTACTTGGGCTTGAACTCAGGACCTTCATCTTGAGCCACTCTATCAGCCCTAGTTTTGTGAAGGATTTTTGAGATAGGGTCTCATGAACTATTTGCCTGGGCTGACTTCGAACCTCAGTCCTCCTACTCTCTTCCTCCTGAGTAGCTAGGATTACAGGCATGAGCCACCAACATCTGGCAAATATTATCTTTTGGAAGATGCTGATTTGTAGAAATAAGACTGGGTGTATTTTTGGTGTTTTGAGGCAGGGTCTCACTATATGGCTCAGGCTGGCCTGGAACTTTAGTCCTACCTAGCCTCAAATTTGGGCTCCTTCTGTGTCTTCCTTCTAGTGCCAGTATTACAAGTATAAACCACCACACCTGCAAGATTGGATTTTTAATATTGATTTTAGTTTTTTGTGATGCTGTGATTGAGCCAATGGCCCTGTACATGCTAGTAAGCATTCTGCCACTGAGCTATATCCCCAGTCCTTGGCTTTTTGAGACAGGGTCTCACTGTATAGCTCAGACTGGCCTTGAACTCTGTGCAGTCCAGGCTGGCCTTAAACTAGAGATCCTCTGCCTCTGCTTCCTGACTGGTAGGATAACAGCATGCCGCCATGCCCAGTTTAGTATTGATTTTGTTTCTAGCACACTTGCTCAACATTCTTATTAGCTACTTCATTTTCTAATGATTACTAATTAGTATAAATTTCCAGTTTTTCAGATTCAGCAAGTGCCCTAAGGACAAAATGGCTTCTGGCATCAGTATCCCCATCCTACTGTGATACCTGCTTTCACTGGGATTTGCTACCTTGGTAGCTCTTGCAGACCCTGGGTCTCTCTACCTCCCAGAACCTTTTTCTTTTTTTTTTTTTTTAAATTATTAGCATACAATATTGTATAAGGGATACATTGCAATATTTACATATGTGCTTACTATATATCACTTTTTTCTTTTTTTGCAGTGCTGGAGTTTGAACTCGGGGTTTGAACCTTGAGCCACTCTACCAGCCCTTTTTTGTGATGGGTTTTTTCAAGATAGGGTCTCTCGAACTATTTGGCCGGTCTGGCCTTGAACCTAGATCCTCCTGATCTCTGCCTCATGAGTAGCTAGAATTATACACATGAGCCTCCAGCACCTGGCACCCCTTCCGTCATTCTCCCCACCCCCCCCACCATCCCTGCTTTCTTGGAACAATGTTAATAGATTTCATTCTTCTATTTTCATATATGTATACAAAATACATCTACCATATTTATCCCATTCCCCCTTTCCTTGTGCCCACCCATCCCCAGAAAAGACCTCTTTTTCCCTCCTGCCCTTCATTTTTTTTTTTAAGTGTATACTGATAGTCCAAGGGGGTTTTGCCTTGCTACTTCATGTCATACCAAGCCCTTTTTCATTCAACTACAACTGCTACTTCTCAAGTCTCTTCAAAGCCAGGTGTAAAGGCTGGAGAAGTGGTTCAAGTGGTAGAGTGCTTGCCTACAAAGTGTAAGGCTCTGAGTTCAAACCCCAGTATCACCAAAAACAAAAGAAAAAAAGATATGTCTAACATAATTTACAATCTAAGTACAGCAAATGTGCAAAAAATACTCCATCAAACAGATAAATGTAAAATGTGTTAGCTGAAAGCATGACTTAAGTAGTAGAGCACCTTCCTAATAAGCACAAAGCCCTGAGTTCAAACTCCAGTACTACCAAAAAACAAAGATAACAAAGCCAGGTGTAGTGGTACACACCTGTAACTCCAGCACTCAGGAGGCTGAGGCAAGAATATCTCTAGTTTGAGGCTGGCCCAGGCAAAGTTAGACCTTATCTCAAAAACAAAAGGGTGGGTGTGGCTCAAATGGTAGACCACTTTCCTAGCTTGTGGAAGGCCCCAGTTCAATCCCTAGTGTGGGGAGAAGGGGGAGTTTAAAAAAAAAAAAAAAAGCATGATTGAGTCTTCTTTGCATGCTGTACTTCCTTGTTTTGTTTATTGTAAAGTGGAGATAATTAGACTCAACTTACATACAATGGAATGTGATGGATCTTTGAAAAATAGGAGTGTGGACTGGGGGCAGGGTTAGTTGGTAGAACAAAAGCATAAAGCCCTGAGTTCAAACTCCAGGACTGCCAAAAAGGAAAAAGAAAAATGGGAATAACCTGGCAGGGTGGTACATGACTATAATCCCAGCCCTGGGTAGGTTGAGGTAGGAGGATTGAGAGTTTGAGGCCTGGGGCACTGTTTCAAAAAAAAAAAAAAAAAAAAAACAAGAAAAATGGGATATACAGCCAGGTATGGTGGTATACGCCTGTAATCCCAGCACTTGGGTAGCTGAGGGGTAAGAGGATTTATGAGTTCAGGATACCCTATGCTACATAGTGAGTTCAAGATCATCCTTGAACTTTTTGAGAACCTGTCTCAAAAAAAAAAAAGAAAGATGTGATATATTCATTATAAAGGCCTGTGTTGGTAATGGTTTGGGCAGTGGTGGTTTTGGTATTGACCTTGATGTTAGAGGTGATAGATAAGCCAGCCTACCAGCAATGTTAATTAAACTACCTCTTCTTAGCTCAGAGAGGCAGTTTACCAAACTCTGCTACACATCAGAGTGTTTGGAAGAATAACCCCCGATACCTATTGAATAGCTCTTTGGGAGAAAGAGATGATTTGATACTGGACACCCTACAAAAGGAGAAGCTTCTATGTGAGTAATAATCAGTATGTGTGACCCCCAGAACCTTACTGCCTTGACAACTCCTTCAAGAATTCAGGAGAACATGGGCTAATGTTGGAGAAGCAAGGAAAGCTGGCTTGGCTCCTGTTTATTACCTCACTCAAAAATGCACTTTCTAGATCTATTTTGGATTGTATGTTTAAATTCAGGCACTATACATTCTGGATTTTCTTATTCAGTGTTTTAAAAATTGTTAAGACTCTTATCTAGAGGGCTGAAGGCATCGTTCAAGTGGTAGAGTGCCTGCCTAGGAAGCACAAAACCCTGATAACAAATCCCAGTACCACAAACAAAACAGAAAACCAAGACTCACTCCAGAGAAAACATTAATTTTTCACATTGATTTTTGGTGAGTATGCTTGTTAAAGCTCTTTCCCTAAGAGTAGAGGAAATCAATTCCAGCTAGCTAAAGCAAAAATAATTTTTTATAGGAATATAGGTTTCATCTCAAATCTAGGGGCTAGAATGCAGTTGAATTTCTTCCTTAATATCTACCCAAACATTAGATCACTTTTGTTTTTTTCCACATCCTTCCTCCCAACCTTACCTCCGATCCCCTAGTCCAAGCTGCTGTTACTTCTCATTATTGAAACAGCCTCATAATTGGCCTCCTGGCTTCTTCTCCTGAATCCTGCCCCCTCCCAACCCATTTTCCACAACAAGGTGCTTTTGTTAAAATATGCAAATCTGTCCCTTGTTTTACTTAAAACCTTTTTAATGATGACACAAAATTCAAAAGCCATAGAAAAATACCACTAATAAAAGAACAAACTGAAAACGATTCATGCACCAAGTGTGTCAGAGCAATAGTTTCTTTGACATATATAACTGCTCTTGAAAATAAGAGATGACTGGGAGGATGGGGAGAGGTTTGTCAAAGGACACGAAGTTACCGTTAGATAAGTTCCAGAGTTAGCAGTAATGCACTGCATAAGACAATAGGCTTATGAGAAGAAAAGGGCCAATCTCACCACTAAAGAGCAGATCAGAGTGTTAAGTTATCATTTTTAAATTGAGATTTAGCAAAAAGTAACAAGTACATATATATATTTGCATATATATGTTTACATATATGTGTGTGTGTATTAGGATATGGGGGAACTTTTTTTTTGTTATTTTTTTGGTGTTTGGTTTTTTTGAGACAGTCTTACCATGTAGCTATGTACCACTGTGCCCATGTGCTTTCTGATACTGTACGGAATGTGAATAAGTAGACCATTTTAGGAAGGTAATTTGGCAATAGCAGGGAAAAATGAAACAGTACTTAACCCTTGATATGGTAATTCCATTTTTAGATCTATATTTTGTGTTTGCTCATACAGCATCACGGCCTAAGGGAGGATCTTCCATTCCATCTCAGAGCTCCTGTAGGGAGAAAAAGGTCAGGGTAAGATAACTCAGGAACCAGCTGACCTCTTCCTTCTTCCCAGTTTTCTCCTATCCCATCTGCCTATAATCAGAAACAATTGCTAAGCTTTACATAATGAAAAACAAAACAATACAAAGTTTAATCAGTAAAATTGATAATCTGACTTTTTTTCCTCTGATGCTGGGGTTTGAACTCAGGGCCTTGAACTTGCTAGGCAGTGCAAGTACCTCTATCTCTTGAAGCACAACTTCAGCCCTTTTTACTTTTTGAGTTAGTGTCTTACTATGTAGCATAGGCTGGCCTGAAACTTGCTATGTAGCCTGGGCTGTTTCAAACTTGAAATTCTGTCTCAGCCTCCTAAATGCTGGGATTATGGGCATGTTCTACCACACCTGACCTTTGTTTCTGTTTTAATCATTGCAGAAAGACAGACATTTTCTTTAGTTTTTATAGCAAAGCACTTAGGTTTCATTGTTATTGCTATTTTTTTCTAACCCAAAAAGTAAAAAGGGAAAAATAATGAGATTACAATATGCTTTTTTTTTTTAAATATAAAAGGAATATACAGAGCTGGAGGCATGGCTCAAGTGGTAGAGCACTTATCTAGCAAATCCAAGACCATAAGTTCAAGCCCCAGTACTGCCAAAAAGAGAAAGGACTATATAAAGTTAGAAAATTTAAATGATAGAAACAAATCAAGAGGGGGGCCGTGGCTCAAGTGGTAGAGCACTTGCCTAGTAAGTGAGAGGCCCTGAGTTCAAACTCTAGTACTACCACATAAAAAAGAAAAGAAAAAAACTGAGGGCTTGGGATGGTGGCACATGGCTATAATCCTAGGTATGGGGAGGTAGAGATGGGAGGATCACAGGTTGAAGTCAGCTCAGGCAAAGTTAGCAAGATCCTATCTAAAAAACAAACTAAAAAGCAAAAAGAGAGCCAGGTGTACTAGGTGCCAGTGGCTCACACCTGTAATCCTAGCTACTAAAGAGGTAGAGATTCTAAAAGCCTTCCCTTCCCCACCCTTAATATAGCCACTATTACAATTATTTTCAGGAGAAAAAATAAAGAGTATATCTTCCTATATCTAAATATTTTTTTTCCTTTTACAAAGTTTGTATATGCCTTTTGGTACCTTTTCATATGTATATATATATATATATATATATATATATATATATCCATAGAACTTTTAAATTTGTTTCGTTTCTTTTGGAACTCTGGGCCTCATGCTAGCTAGGCAGGCACTCTACCACTTGAACTACTCCACCAATCCTATTTTCTCTTTTTAATTTCAATCTGGGGAGAGTGTGTGTGTGTGTGTGTGTGTGTGTGTGTGTGTTGCTAGGAACTGACCCCAGGACCTTTTGCAAGCTAGGTAAGTGTTTTACCTCTGAGCTATACCCCCAGCCAATACCAGGGATCTTGTATACAATATTCATTCTTTGGGGTTTTTTGTTTGTTTGTTTAATACTATATCTTAGAGATCCTTTTCAGATAAATCCACTTCATTATTTTTAGAGATCCATGTAGTATTACATCTCATTAACTTTCCTTTTGTTGGATGCCTTGGTTGTTTCTACTTTTATTTGAATATTGCTGCAGTGAGCATCTTTATACATGTATCTTGACAAACTTTTGTGAGCTAACCTTTAAGGTAAATTCTTTTTTTTTTTTTTTTATTTGGTATAAGGGATCAAACCCAGGACCTCACTGACGCTAGGCAAACACCCTATCACTGAGTTTCATCCCCATCTTTTGATTTTGTTTTCTTTCACCTTTACCAGGATGAATGTAAAAATATGTACATTTTTGCGGGGGGGAGTGGGGGGTATTATCCATCAAGTAAAAACTGGCATTTATTTGTCACTTTGATTTGCAGGTTTTTCATTATGAGTGAGATTGAGCAGCTTTACCATCTTTTCAAATGTTCATAATCTTTTTTCCCTCATTAAATTATGGGAATAGGGGACAGTGGGCAGAAAAGGGAAAGAAAGATTACCAGGACAAATGGTACCTCCTTCTTTCTTTTTTAGGGCCTACCTGTTTACCTTCACCTGTGCACAATCAGATTGATGCTGTGAGCAGAGGTATTTCATGACCTTCCAGACCAGGAAATTCAAACCAGACAGGCCTGGCATTTACATCTGATGGGCACTGAGCCGTCAGTGCCTTCAGCCTTTGGCTTCCCCTTTCATTTCTATTCTTTCTTCCTCTCATTTCCTTTTTTCTTTCTCCCTGAAAACCTCTTTTCCTCCCTTTTTTCCCCATCTTCTCCCAAGAGTTGTTTTTTCTATCTTCGTCACTTCTCACCTGTCTTGTTCCCCCTCACCTTTCTATCCTTTGTTTACTAAGTCTCTTTGAACTTGAGATGAGTATATCATGGACCTGAAATTTAATTTGTCAATTGTTTCACTATTGTTAATAAAGTTTGTTTCTTTTTTCCCTGACTGGGGTTTGAACTCAGGGCCTACACCTTGAGCCATTTCGCCAGCCCTTTTGTTGTGATGTGGTTTTTTTTTTTTGTTGTTTTTTTTTTTCGAGATAGGGTCTCACAAACTGTTTGCCCAGGGTGGCTTCAAACCTTGGATTCTCATAATCTCTGCCTATTGAGTAACTAGAATTACAGGCATGAGCCACCATCACCCAATTAAGTTTTTTTTTTTTTTTTTGGCAGTACTGGGGTTTGAAGTCAGGGCCTCATGCTTGGTAGGCAGGCACACTGCCACTTGAGCCATTCCACCAGCCCTAAGTTTTATGAACTTTTTTCTAAAAAGGCTGATAAATAAATTGAAAGTTCTCACTCTTGCCCTCTGAACAAAAAGACACATTAAATATCTTTATTTTTGTAACTCACTGTCAAACTGTCTTGGACCCTTGGACTTTAATTTAAAAACAAACTTCAGACTAAGTCTTCCTGTTAAAGGGTAAATGTATCACAGGATTATACATCTCTGCTAATATCTTAATACAGTGATTGAAGTTATTTAGTTGTTATAGATGAGCAGTAAGGTTCCTAAGGAGAAAAATGAAGTTGTTCATATATTTCCTCTCCCCTTTGGCAGATTCACTTGTGCTAAGCTCACCACTTCTTAGAAGCAGACAGCTTCTTTATGATGACTTAAATGGAGTAAACCCACAACTTCGAGAACCCCAAGATCTTTTTTCATTTTTCTCTGGCAGAGGGCCTCTGCAGGCTCCAAGATGGCCAATAGAATGTGAAGTCATCAAAGAAAACATTCATCACATTGGTAAAGCAACGTATGCATGGTTGTCTTGCTGTTTCCCCTGACTTCATTATAAGGCCTTACAATCCTAAGTCCTGTATGCTGAAATACAAAGCACATAGTCAACACCTGTTAACTGGCCCTGAAATGACAAAAGTGGGAAACCATTATACATTCATCAAAGTCAAAAATTATAACGTGAACTAGAATGCTTCTGAGCTTTTTGAAATGAGAGGATACCTTCCTAGAGGCTAAAATGTACAAATATGTATATATGTTTTCTAGACATTTTTCTATCTCATATTAGTGTGCTTGATTGAGTTGTATTTTTACCAGTCTTGGTATAATTAATTTAATAATTAAATAGCTTTTACTGTTTTTAACTATTATTTTGAGTTTTTTATTTATTATGGGCATGGTGGAGTTTTGTTTTATTTTCTTTTTTCTTTTTTTTCCCAGTACTGGAGATTGAATCCACATACTAGGGAAGAACTCTACCATTTGAGCTTCAGTCTCAGCCCAGATAAAGTTCGCTTCTTTTCCTTATATAAAAAGAGTAAAACTTGAGTATTAGACCAAGATAGAATTCCTGTATGGATTTAGGACTTGATTCCATAAAGGGAAAAAAAGTGGAAACTGGAATTTAAAAATCAACATTGGAGTGGTAACCTACTAACCCACAGATCTTTTTATTTTATATATATATTTTTTTGGCAGTATGAGGCTTGAATTAGGGGCCTTGCACTTGCTAGGTAGGCACTCTACCACTTTAGCCTCCAATCTCCAAAAGACCTTTTTAAAAGTAATTCTTAAAAAATTTCAAGGAAGCTTATTAACAAGTACCTTGGATGTTTAAACTGAATTGTCAAAGCCTCATCACTTCTCACTACCATTAAGAACAGAAATTAGCATTGTCTTTTACTTAGTTCTGAGTTCTACCTTTTTATGCCATTGGCTTTCATCAACGGCTACTATACTTAAAATGACATCGAAAAGTCCAAATCCCATGTGAGGAATCTTTTTTAATTCAGTTCTAATAAAAACTCTTTGTCTCTGCTGATGAAATGATAGACTTGTTTTATAGTGATAAAAAGATCAAATGAAAATGACTACATTTTCCCAATTTTAAAGGAAGCGCAAAACCAAATTTTGAAGAGCTACTATATTGACCTTCTGGCTGACTTTTGAGTCTCCTCATGATCTTGAAAAGGACCAAGACAATTAATTTACAAACAAGTTGTAAACTTGGGATGAGAATTTGATTTGATTCAACTAAGTTAGCCATTTGAATAATTACTATAATTTTATATCAGTTCTGACCGTGACTTTTATATTATTTCTTATTTTGTGCTTTTCAAACTGTCTTCTTTCAGAATGGGTTCCGCCTGAACCAGAATATTTCTATCAACCTACAGGAAATGAAAAAGTACCAGAAATTATAGGAGAGGAAAAAGGAATAGTTGTCTATCAGTTACTTTCAGGTATTGTCTTTGCGTTGAATAGTGGGTGATTAATTAAACCTAATTTTCATAGTAAAAGTGATTTTAAAAATCCATAATTTAATGACAAGTAAACTGTCTATTTCCAGACCAACTTGAGTAAGAGGCTCTGATAGTCATGACCAATCAGCCTTAAAATTTCAATGATTTTTTTAAATGACAGTACATTTTTCTTAATAGTTCTAAGTTCATCTTAAAGAATCATCTCTGAGGAGCTTGCTTTTTCTTCTTTATGTGCTTTAGTGAGTACTTTGTTATTTGTACATATAACTATCACTTAGTGTGTGATTTCCTGCATTAATTTAAGTTGCAGGCTTCTAGGGATAGAACCCATGTGGTTCATATGCATAGCATTCTGCCCAACAACGACAAAACACATTATTTTCAAGAACACCTGATATTTCCCAGGGTACCCCACATCCTGGGTCACAGGCATGTGACTCTGAGTACAACAGAGTAAATTAAAAATCAGCAATGAAATAAAATCTGGAAAATCCACAAATATTTGGCAATCCAATGACACATTTCTAAATAATCTATACGTTAAGGAAATCATAAGGAGTTCAAAAGTATTTTGAACTAAGTGAAAATAAAACTATAACACATCAAACCTTATGGCATGCAGCTCAAGCAGTGCCAGGGAAATTTAGGGATTTAAATGCCTATATTTGAAAGTAAGAAAGTCTCAAATTACCTAAGATACCACCTTAATAAATTAGAAAAATAAGCTGGGTGCTGTGGCATATACTTGTAATCCCAGTTGCTGAGGTTGAGACAATTGAGCCCAGGAGGCCAGCCAAGATGACACAGAGAGACAGTCTCAAAAAAAAGGAAAGAAAGGAAACAAAAATGAAAGAAAGAACAAACTAAACCCAGCGCTAATAAAGAACAGAAATCAGTGAAATAGAAAACATAAAAATAGTAGAAAAAAAGAAACCAAAAGTTAATCTTTGAAAACTAACAAAATTGACAAAATTTTAGCTAGACCAACCAAGAAAAAAAAAAAAAAAGGAGACATGATTAATCAAAATCAGAAATGAAAGAGATACATTATCACCAAACCTACTAGAGTTCAACAGAATTATAGGATGAATGCCATTAACAATTTTATGTCAACAAATTAGACAACCCAAATGAACAGGACCAATTGCTAGAAAGAAATTAGTTACCAAACCTGACTCAGGAAGAAATAAAAAGTCTGCATAGACAATTACAAAAAAAATTAACTTAAAATCTTCCCACAAGGTTAAAAACAAACCTAGGCCAAGATGGTTAGACCGCATTTGTTCAAATTCTATAAAGCATTTAAAGATGAAATAGCACCAATTCTTCACCAATTCTGAAAACAGAGGAGGAAATTTTTCCTAATTCCTTTTATGAAGCCATCATTATTTCCCTGACAACACAGACATTACAAGAAAATTTCAGAACTATATTCCTCATGGCCATAAATGCAAAAATTCTCAACAATAAATAGAGTCAAACCCAATCCAGTAATGTATAAAAAGGATTATATGCTGTGATCAAGTGAGATATATACTTTGGATCCAAGACTGGTTTAACATCTGAAAAACAATTATGAAAAACAACCTTTAATAGCATAAAGGACAAAACAACATGAATTTGAAAGAAATAGCAGAACAGGGGTTCCAAGAACCAATTTCTCTATTGAAGCAACCACTAAACTGGCAAAAGCTAACAGAGTCAACCTTTTCAGGACTCTGGAAATTAATGATAAACAGCAACTTAGGGGCACGCTTAATGAAGAAACAAGCTGGGAAGGAAAGGTGTGACATTTTTGAGGCCACAAGAACAGCAGCCCATGTTCCTGGTACAGTATGCTGATGGTGGTATAGGGCAGGGCAAAGTGGACCACATCCTCAAAACTCTATGGTTGAGATTTTTTTTAATTCCCTGAATAACCAGAGCAAAGGCTGACTGTTTCTCCTGCTTTAGGCTGTAACAGTTTTTTCAGGTGGCATCTGTCAAAAAAAAAAAAAAAGTTTAAGACATACATTACGCATAGCCACTTGGGGCAAGGGATGGCAGATGGCAAACAGCAGGCAGGTACGGAAGCCTGGAAGAGATGAGGAGAAAGGTCATGAGGGCCTGGAAGGGAAGTGCCATCACATACACCAGAGAATGTGGCATGAATGTTGAGGGCTGGACCCAGGCTCAGAAAAGAACTTGGGCTTTGAGCTTTGTACAAAAAGGAGGAGAAGGCTAAGGTAGAGTTGTTTTTAGTCTGGCTTAATATTGAGGAGTGCCCCACCTCTGCAAAGACTAGGAAAGTTTTGTGTTTATTTTTCTTCTTTCTTTTGTGTTTTTTCTTCCTTCCTTCCTTCCTTCCTTCCTTCCTTCCTTCCTTCCTTCTTTCCTACCTTCTTTTCTTCCTTCTTCCCTCCCTCCCTCCCTCCATTATTTAAGTAAATATTTGTCAGGTCACTGGCTGACCACTGATACAGTGAAACAAAGACAGTGACCACACATGACAAGGAGTAATATCATACTCAATGGTGAAAGGCTACACTGGATGTGATGGTACATGCCTGTAATCCCAGCTTGTAGGAGGCTGAGGAGGGAGGATCAGGAGTTACAGACCAGCCTGGGCTACCATAGTGAGACACTTGCAAAAAAAAAAAAAAGAGTTTGGGCTGGTGGAGTGGCCCAAGTATTAGAGCACCTGCCTGGCAAGCATGTTGCCCTGAATTCAAACCCCAGAACTAACAAAAACAAAACAAATAAAGTGTGATATGACTACAAACTGGACAAAATATTTGAATATTTTGCCAAGGAAAATATACAAATGGCTTATAAGCATATGAAAAATGTTCAAATCATTAATCATTAAAAAAATGCAAATTAAAACTTCAAGATATTTCATACCCATTAGAATAATTATTATAAAAAGAAGGCAAAGCCAGGTACTGCTGGCTCATGCCTGTAATCCTAGCTGCTTGGGAGGCTGAAATCAGGAGGATTGTGGTTTGAGGCTGGCCTGGCCAAATAGTTCCCAAAACCCATCTCCAAAAATATACTGGAGGTGTGGCACAAGCAGTAGAGGGCCTGATTTGCAAGTGTGAAGCCCTGAGTTCAAACCCCAGTCCCACCAGAAAAAAAAAAAAGACAACAATGTGCTGGGAGGATGTGGAACAGATGGTAACATTTCAGGTAGAAAAAAGGGACATAGTACTAAAAAGCAATGAACTAAGGAATATAATATAAATTTTCTGAAGAAAGAGAAAGTAAACTGTGAATAACAGTGAGATACCAGGTTAATAATAGGGATGGACACTAGGTGGTAACAAAGCTGCCTGAAAGGGCATCTTTGCTACCACCAAAAATCATCTGATACTCTTTGCCAATATCCTTAGGTACCAGGGCTAAGCAGAGTTTTTTTTTAAAGTTCTCTACAAGCTAGATGCAGTGGTCCACACCTGTAATCCCAGCTACTCAGAATGGAAAATGAATTGCCTCAGTTGTTCTGCTAACACACAATGGTGACGGCCGCCTTGATCTTCTTGTCCCTTGGATTCATCAAGAAAAGTTGCGCCCACCCTACTGGAAGAGCAAAGAAACAAAAAAAATTGAGAAGATGAAGCTCCAAGGAAGACTCAGGAATTTATCCACGTAGGGACTCCTGAGCATCTACAGGCTATGAGAATATTTGGGAAAAAAAGGAAAGAGGTTTTGTTTTGGGGGAAATGTTACCTTTGAATGTTTCTTTGAGAAAGTCAAGAAAATACTGACATTTCTATATTAATGACATCTAGTTCCATGAAGAGACTGAATCACATGGGCCCAGCTTTTAGTTGGACTGCACAAATCCTCAATTTGTTTCTGCTCCTATTTCCTCTGTTTGTTTTCTTTTTTCACTTTCTTCTTCTCCTTTGCTCTAACTTATTCTCCAGCTGTTTATTATCTAAGTCTCCACAGTGACAAGGTTGCCTATGAGAGCAGAAGTCATCATAACAGGAACATGCTTACTAATGAACGGGCTAGTTATAAAGCCATGCCCCTTAAAAACATTGCTGCTGGCTGGCGGGGGCTCATACCTGTAATCCTAGCTACTCGGGACTACTCCAGAGGCAGAGATCAAGAGGATTGAGGTTTGAAGCCAGCTTTGGCAAATAGTTTGTGAGACCCTATCTCAAAAATATCCAACATAAAAAGGCTGGTGGAGTGGCTCAAGTGGTAGAGTGCCTGCCTAGCAAGTGGGAGACCCTGAGTTCAAACCCTAGTACCACCAAAAAAACCAAACTGCTATTTGTTTAATGCTAGATTCTACCCCTTGCCCCATGGTCAACATCTTTGATACCAAGTTCTTGCTGATTGACACATCTTGTTAGCATCTGACAATGCAAGAGAGTAGAAATTATTTATTGTGATCATCAAGAGAAATGCAGGATTTTATGAAGTTGATGAATGTGAAAGAACTGCTTGAATCGAATCATAAAGCCATTGACAAAAATCTACAAATTTTTCATCAGTCAACAGAAAAACTAATAGATGATAAAACAGGTCCTTCTGTATACAATAATAAGAATATCATGTGACAAAGGGGACTTCTTGAAATAACTATCAAGCTCTAAAGTAGTTTTGCAGAAGTAACTGCAAAAATTGAAAATGTCATATGGTACTATCACTGAAATTGAAAAATTGCAACTCCAAAAAACCCAATTGATTATTGTTCTAAGGACCAGAAAGAGGTTGCAAATATAAATAACCTAATTTTGTTAAGTTTCATAATTTTTTGCTGTAACTTGATTGTAAAGATAAAATATGATGGTGCATACCTATACTCCCAGCATCCAAGAAGCTAAGGCAGGAGGATTGAGAGTTTGAGATCAGCTGGGCTACCTAGCAAGACCTGTCTTAAATAAATAAATTTTAAAAAAAGGAAGAAGAAATGTCAATTTTATTTTCAGTAATAACTAGGACATTTTGGTTCCCTCTAAGCAAATTCACCCATGCCAGTTCTTCTCAAACTTCTATTTTCATTTTATTTAAGCCTTCCAATGATACATCAAAAATTATTTTTCCTATTTATTTTCTTAAAAAATTAATAAAAAGATTACAAATACTTTCTTTTTAAATTTTTTATTATATCATTGTACTGGAGGTACATTGTGGCAAATATTTTCAAGTAGTTAAAATAACATTGTGTCTGGTTCTGTTCAATTTCAAATACAGAATATCATTTTTGTCACATCCTTCATTTATTGTGGTGGTACTGGGGTTTGAACTCAGTGTCTCACAATTGCTAGACAGGTGCTCTACCATTTGAACCACACCTGCAACCCTTTTTGCTTTAGGCTATTTTTCAGATTGGGTCTCATGTTTTTGCATGAGGCCAGCCTCAGACCTGATCTTCTTATCTTTCCTCCCTCATAGCTGGGATTATAGGCACATGATACTACACCTGGCTTGTTTGTTAATGTGAGGTCTTCATAACTTTTTGCCTGGGCTGGACTTGAATCTTAATCCCCCTTCTCTCCACCTCCAGAGTAGCTGGGAATTACAGGTGTGTGCCATCACACCTAGCTCTGCCAACATCCTTTTAAATTAGGGTTTATATGAGAACAAGCGGTATCTGATATGCAAGGGAATTCATGAAGCAAAAGTAAGCACTCTAAATAGTAATGGGCTGTTGAAATTTAAAGGCCTCAGTAAGAACAATTAAAAATTTGGGTCAGGTATGGTAGGACACACCTGTAATCCCAGCTGCTTGGGAGATGAAGATCTCAAGTCTGGGCAAAAAGTTATCGAGATCCCTTCTCAACAAACAAGCCAGGCATGGTGGTGCGAGCCTGTGATCCCAGCACACAGGGCCATAGGTAGGAGTATTGTGGTCCAAGGCCAGTCCAGGCAAAAACCGTGAGACGCTATCTAAAAAAATAACTAAATCAAAAAAGGATTGTGAGTGTGGCTCAAATGGTTCAGTGCCTGCCTAGCAAGTACAAGGCCCTGAGTTCCAACCCCAGTGCCACCAAAAAAAAAAGAACAATTGAAAATTCAAAATCCATTGTTGCTAACCTAAAATAGTGCTGACCAGGTAGAGGATTTCAGTAAATACTTGCTGCATGGGTGGATTCTGAGTAGAATCTAGCCTAAAGTTACCTCTCTCAATCTACAGTGCCCACCGAAGGTTCCTATTTCACTAGCTCTAGAGTGGGAGGAAAACGAGGAGTTATCAAGGAACCTACTGTCATGTTGCAAGGACCAGAAGATAATACGCTCCTGTTTGAATCAAGGTTTGAGAGTGGGAATCTGCAAAAAGCTGTCAAAGTGTGAGTAACCAGGAATTCCCCAAAGGGATGATGATCAGAGTGACAGGTGTCTTCAGAAATGGCTTCAGGAATTAGTAGTGTTTGCAGAAAAGAGAGGCGATGAGACAGTGATGAGGATGGAGAAGAATAGAATAATCATGACTCATGTTTTTTTCCAGAATAGAACATTATCTAAATGGTTTCTTCTTCCTACAAGAGGAAATGGAGCCATTTAAAACTTGTATTAGTAGAAATATGTAACATAAAAGTCATACCCCCCAATGCAGTAATTGTTAACAGTTTGGTATGTATGTCTAATTTATTTTTGTGTGGTTATGTATAATATACACAAATTATATGTTGTTTAAAATAAAAATCGGATCACCTGCCTAGTAAACCTAGCAAGTGTGAGGCCCTGAGTTCAAGCCCCAGTACTTCCAAAATAAAAAAAAAGAAGTATAAAATAAAAATTGTATGCATAATGTTTTGCAAATTGCTTTTTCCCTCTTAGTAAATTTTAGGTATTTTCCTATGACAGTACCACAGATATGCCTCCTTATTTTTAGTAATGCCAGCCAGCCCTGTCCCACACTTGTAGCCCCAGCTACTTGGGAGTCTGAGGCAGGAGAATCACTTGAGCCAGAAGTTCAGGCTGTTTTGGTAGCATGGGCAACATTGCAAAATCTCGTCTCTAAATACATACATATATACATACATAATTAGTGCACATTATTCTATTGTATGGATACTTCATTCCTATTTATGATGGGAAATCATGATGTTTGGTTTTTTGTTTAATTACTTAGCAGAGTGAACACCCTCATGCATTATATATTTTAAGGACTTGTGGTTTAGGGGGTAAATTCTAGACATAAATATTCTAGAAAAAATAGTTATGTCAAAGGCTCTGAACACTTTAAGTATAGCTAGTTATCACCAGATTGCCCTCCAAAGTGATTCTAGTTCCATTAACAGTATATAAGAGGGCTGGAGGTATGACTCAAACGGTGGAGCACCTGCCTTGCAAGCCCCCCCTCTCTCTTTTTTTTTTCCAGCACTGAGATTTGAACTCAGGGACTACAACTTGAGTCACATCACCACTCCACCAGCCCTTTTTTGTAATAGGTTTTTTTCAAGATAGGGTATTGTGAACTATTTGCTTGGGCTGGCTTTGAACCCCTATCCTCCTGATCTCTGCCTCCTGAGTAGCTAGGATTACAAGTGTGAGCCTCTAATGCCCAGCACTAGGGATTACAGATGCTCTACCACTTGAACCACATCCCTAGTCGTTTTCCTTTTAGTATTTTTTTTCCAGATAGGGTCTCATGCTTTTGCTTGGGCAGGCCTCAGGTGGACTGAGATCCTCTGATTTCTGCCTCCCAAGTAGCTGGGATTATAGCAAAAAGCTAACACTCCCAGCCGTTTTTTTCCCTGTGTTTTTGAGACAGGGTCTTGCCACGTACCCTATGCTTACCTCAAACTCGCCTCAGCTTCCTAGGTGCTGGGATCACAGACATGAGCCACAGGCACCTGGCCCTGTTTCTCTTAAGCAAGGTGAATGTATTCCAGAGATGCCCCCTCATTTTCAAATAATTGATGACCAGAGGGAAAAAACAGGCTTACGGGTTTCCTCCAGTGTGATCTCTAGGATGGGCAACTAAACTGTCAGTGAGTTTCAGAGAAATGTACCAGAGTGGTCAGAAACTGCTAGTCGATACTCTAAAGAAACTAACAGAACTTCCAGATATACCATTCCTCATGAGTTTTTTGTTTACTTGTTTGTTTGGTTGATTTTTGAAATTATTGTTTTGGGGTTTTTTTGTTGTTTTGTTTTAATCAGGGTCTTCCTATGTAGCCTAGGCTGGCCTTGAGTTCTGCAAGCCACCATGCCTAGCTTTTTTGTTTGTTTGTTTTGGTGAGATTGGTGTTTGAACTCAGAGCTCGGCATTTGCAAAGCAGGCACTCTGTTTGATCTTTTTTCTTGAAACAGTGTCTATGGAGTTTAGGCTGGCTTCAAACTTACTATGTAGCTCAGTCTGTCCTCAAACTTGTGATGCTCCTGCCTTATCCTTACATATTCTTATAAGTGCTAGGATTACAGGTATGTAGCACCACACCTGGCTAGCATGAGTTTTTAGACTTTTTTTTCCCCCTGAGGTGTTGGGCAACAAACCCAGAGCCTTGCACATATGAGGCAGGTACTTTACCACTGGCCTACATCCAGCTCAGGTTTTCCATTCCTAACAAAATTTCCTCCCACAAGTTTCTGCTAGTCTATGAGTGAGGTGAGGCTGGAGGCATGGCTCAAGTGGTAGAACATGTGAGGCCTTGTCTTGAAAAAACCCAGTATTGCCAGAGAGAGAGAGAGCGAGAGAGAGAGCAGGCTTTTCTGTTGTAGCATAAGCTATTTTTACAAGGGAAAAACAATATTTTCCCACATTTATTTTCAAGGGGTGTGTGAGGTTACAGAGATGTCCTATTTTCTCCATTACAGAGGCACCTATGAGTATGAGCTCACCTTGCGAACGGACCTCTATACGAATAAACACACTCAGTGGTTTTATTTTCGAGTTCAGAACACCAGAAAAGATGTCACTTACCGCTTCACTATTGTCAACTTGCTGAAACCAAAGAGCCTTTATGCTGTCGGGATGAAGCCACTCATGTACTCTGAGTTGGATGCTAACATCTACAACACTGGCTGGAAGAGAGAAGGAAATGAGATAAAGTACTATAAGAACAACACTGATGATGGCCAGCAGCCCTTCTACTGCCTCACATGGACCATTCGGTTTCCACATGACCAGGATACTTGCTTCTTTGCACATTTTTACCCATATACTTACAGTGATTTGCAGTGCTATCTCCTGTCAGTAGCAAACAACCCCATCCAGTCTCAGTTCTGCCATCTCCGAACTTTATGCAGGAGCCTAGCAGGAAATACTGTGTACTTGCTCACCATCACCAACCCATCCAGGACCCCTGAAGAGGCAGCTGCAAAGAAAGCTGTTGTGTTGAGCGCCAGAGTCCACCCTGGGGAGAGTAATGGCTCCTGGATTATGAAAGGCTTTTTGGACTTCATCCTTAGCAATTCTCCAGATGCCCAGCTCCTCAGGGATCTCTTTGTCTTCAAGGTGGTTCCCATGTTAAATCCAGATGGTGTGATTGTGGGAAATTATCGGTGTTCACTGGCTGGAAGGGACTTGAACAGGCAATATAAAACTATTCTGAAAGAGTCTTTCCCTTGCATTTGGTACACCAGGAATATGATCAAAAGGTGAGACCTCTTACTTGTTGATAATTCTGTAAGTGTTATGTGTGCTAGTGCCAGATACCCCTCCATCTTCTGTTTGGAATCAGGTATGACTTTGGAAGACATTTATTTATTTAGTTTGGCAGTACTGGGGTTTTAAACTCAGGGCCTGAAGCTTGACTAGGCAGACACTGTATCACTTGAACCACTCCACCAGCCCTTTTTTGTGTTGGGTATTTTTGAAATAGGGTCTCATGAACTATTTGCCTGGGCTGGCTTTGAACCTCGATCCTCCTGATCTCTGCCTCCCAAGTACCTAGAATTATAAGCATGAGCCACCGGCACCCAGCTGACTTTAGAAGTCTTTACCATTCTCTTTGCAGTCAATTCATTGTAAATTTTCAGACTTTTGAATCACATCTGATCTTTGGAAAGATATTGAACATGCAAAATTTCTGTTAGTCATTTCTGTTTTTTTTTAGTACTGGGGTTTGAACTCAGGACCTTATGCTTATTAGGCAGGCACTCTACTACTTGAGCCATACCACACAGTAATTTATTTTTAAGTTAAACAGTTGAATGGAAAAGGTCAGAGGTCATGGAGTTATAGGTATTCATGATGAAACTTGTGTAGTAATAATCGTAGCCAACAATTAGTGTTTGTGAAGTGATAGACATTGTACTCAGTGTTTTACACATAAAATAACCCACTTAATTTCCACATCAACCCCAGGAGGTTACATAGGATCAGTATCCCATGTTGTATATGATACAGAAATTGAGGACCAGAAATGTTAAAATCACTTCAATAAGGTCATACAGCTAGTAAATTGAGATTTGAACACAAGGCTGTCTGGTTCCAGACTCTGAGTCCTTTAAAACCATCTTATGTTCCTCTCATAATGAAAGAATAAGAAATTAGCATTTAAGCCTGTGTGAAAGTAGCTGAAAACTATAATGTAACAGCACCTACCTTAAAGGAGCTTCCACTTAATTGGAAGTGAAAACACAGCAGATAAGAAAGTGTGCATGCCTGGCACCAGTGGCTCACACCTGTAATCCTAGCTACTTGGGAGACTGACATTGGGAGGATTGTGACTTGACGCCACCCCAGGCAAATAGTTTACAAGACCCCATCTCCAAAATAATCAGAACAAAATGGACTGGAAATATGGCTCAAGCGGTAGAGTACCTGCTTTGTAAGTGTAAAGCCCTGAGTTTTAACCTCAGTCCCACAAAAAAAAAAAAAAATGTGTCTGTGCAACCTTCCAACCATACCTGTGTGAATGGGTACAAGAACAATTGGGCTGGTAGAAAGTGGCTAAACACATGTGTTTGATTCTAAGACTAACTTGTGGCTGATTCTGTGACCTCGGCCAAGTGATTTGATTTCTATGAGCTTCAGCTTTCTTCTCATCTGTGGAATGCTAATAACTGCCTTGAGTGGTTACTATGAGGATTAGGTGAGATTATCCATGTCATCTATTTATAGTATCTAGCATATTATAAGTGTGTAACATTAGTTATTACCCTCTTCATCTAACCATCATCATCATGGGAAAGTGAGCATGTTTGGAAAGTTGGAATAGCTTCCTTGGTGATCATGAGACAAAGAGGAGCTGAACCTTGTAGGAACTGGCCCTAGCATTTGAGGAACCAACACTTTCCTTGGCTTTTTTTTTTTTCCTGCAACCACAACCTCTGCTGGCCTCCCTTTCTTCACAGTGGTCTCAATAGGTTATCTCTACTTCCTGTCCACAGTGGTCTCAATAGGTTATCTCTACTTCCTGTCCACTTATACGGGCCTACCTACCACCCCATCCCACATCACAATTTTTCTATCTCAGATCCCTCTGACCGGCAGGGGTAAATGACAATTTTCATCAGTGACTGAGAATAGGGGATAGGATCCATTGAAGGCCATTAGAGTTGAGGTTTTCTTAGGAGAGAAGGTATCAACAGTCATACAGGAGAGAATCTAGATGATCCTGGATTATTTTCATGCATTTGGGTGTCCACTGAGTCCTTTGTTTACCCCTCAATAGACTTCTGGAAGAAAGAGAGGTTCTCTTGTATTGTGATTTCCATGGGCACAGCCGCAAGAATAATATCTTCCTGTATGGCTGCAACAACAATGATCACAAGCATTGGCTTCATGAGCGAGTGTTCCCTTTGATGTTAAGCAAAAACGCACCAGACAAGGTAAGCACATCCGGTAGTTTCTGTCCATTGACTGAGGGACGAAGGAACTCACTGCTCTCTAGATGTAATGTTTTATTTGCATTTTCTATTTCTTATTATTGTCTTTGGTAGATCCCAGCAACCTAGATGTCAAGACTTTAGAAAAGTATGGCTTTAAGACTTGTTCTGTGTCCATCACCTGATAAACAGATAAATAAAATGTGGAATATCTACATAATGAAATGGTTTTTGTAATAATGTAAGATTTAAGTGCTGATATGTAGGGCACAGATGAACCTTGAACATATTAAGCTAAGTGAAAGAAGCCAAACACAAGAAGCTGCATACTGTATGATTCCACTACATGCAATGCTCAGAAAAAGCAGTCTTACAGAGACAGAAAGTGATTCAGTGATTGCTTGGGGCTTGTGAGATGGGTAGGAAAAGACTGCTAATGAGTGTTGAGTTTGTTTTTGCAGTGCTGGGGATCAAACTTGGGGTCTCATACATGCTAGCCAAGTGCTCTACCACTGAGCTATATCTCCAGCCCTTAAGTTTCTTTTTCTTTTTTTTTTTTTAAATCTGGGTTTTTGTTTTGTTTTACTGCAGTGGGGTTTGAACTCAGGACCTTGCACTTGCTAGGCAGGTGCTCTACCACTTGAGCCACTCTTCCAGCTTAAGTTTCTTTTTGTGGTAATGGAAATGTTCTAAACTTAGATTGTTTGTAGTGATAGTTGAATAACTCTGTAAACATATTAAACCATTGAACTATACTTTAAAGTAATTAACTTTATGATATATAATTATAGCTTAATAAATGTAGTTTTTTTTTGTTTACCTACTTGTTTATTGGTGCAGGGGATCAAACCCAGAGCCTCAAGCATGCTAAACACATGCTCTAACACTGAGTTACACTTCCAAGATAATTTTTTAAATTGCCCTGACTGTTTTCACTGGGCATAAGCTGAAACTCTTAGTAAGAAAGGTGATTATCAATTACCATCTTTAATCCTGTGGTTGACAGGGGAAGAAGGGTTTGAAAGATAAACAAAATGCTAATGTCACTTGAGTGTCTATACAAAAAAGCTAATTAATGAAAAAAAACTAATGAAAACAATTTAAAAGTTTAATAGTTGTTTAATAACTATATCACAGGTTGGCAATGTAGCTCAGTGGTAGAGTACTTGCATAACATGCACAAATCCCTGCCCTGGGTTCACACACACACACACAGAAAAATCCACAAAATGTAGCTATGATTAAAAAGTAGGTTGGATTTTAGAAACCTGTTTATTTATTTATTTTTGGTACTGGGGTATGAACTCAGGGCCTCAGGCTTGCTAGGCAGGTGCTGTACACTTAAGCCACTTCACCAACCCTTTTTCATTTTGAATATTTTTGAGATAGGGCTGGCTTCCAACCAAGATCCTCCTGATTTCTGCCTCCTAAGTAGCTAGGATTACAGGTGCAAGCCATAGGGGCGCCTAGCTTTTAGTTTTTTTAATGCTTTATCTCCTTGACTGATATGATCACAGAACTCCTTTTCCCCCTATAATACCTACTGACATCACTCAGAAGTAATATTTTATAAAACATACTTTAAGAAATAATATATAGACCCCTAAGGGAACTAAAGGAACTATTCTTGTTTCATAGCAATGAAGATTAGACATCTACTTGCTGGTTTATGATTAACAGAGAATTTGGGTTTTTCTTTAGTTCTCTTTTCAGAGTTGTAATTTTAAAGTCCAAAAATGCAAAGAAGGAACAGGACGAGTTGTGATGTGGCGGATGGGAATCCTAAACAGCTACACCATGGAGTCTACCTTTTGTGGGTCCACCCTGGGTAATCTCTCCTTCATATATCCATAGGCTAGACTGGCAAGAGGAAGCCAAGCACAACACCTGGGAAAATGAAAGGCCTGGGAATGCTGGGGAAATAACTGAGCTAGAGTATTTCCTTGGCTGGCCTTGTGCTAAATTTGAGTACCCTAAACACGAATGTGTAATACAGAACACATGGGGCAGTATTGCATAGTGGCTGCTTAGGACTTGCAATCAGGCAGATGTGGGTTTGAATTTCAGCTGCACTTACAAGTTGCTGTGATCCTGGGTAAGTTATTTAACCTTTTCTAGCCTCAATTTCCCTTTAACTGTCAATAATCATAATACCTGCTTCATGGGTATTGCTTAAGGTGATAGTGCCTGCCACAAAGTAAAATCCCAATAATTATAGCATCATGATAGTACCCTTTTTCATTGTGAAAGCTTCTTCTAAATCAGTCTAAAACTAGGAGAGCCACCCCTTTCAGAAGCATATATTATTCTAGACTCAGATGATATTTAAAAAAAAAAAAAAAGATACTCCTGCTGGGCTCCAGTGGCTCATGCCTGTAATCCTAGCTACTTGGGAGGCTGAGATTGGGAGGATCGAGTTTTGAGGCCAGCCCTGGCAAATAGTACTTGAGATCCTGTGTCCAAGATAAGCAGAGCAAAAAATAGACTGGAGGTGTGACTCAAGTGATAGAGTGCCTGCTTTGCAAGTACAAAGCTCTGATTTCAAATCCCAGGCCCATCAAAAAAAAAAATACTCAAAACATTAGATTTGCATTCAGTACTTAAGATATAATAAGAAAAATTTTTTTCCAGGCAGTAAAAGAGACACTCACTTTACCACTGAGGATCTGAAGTCCCTAGGTTATCATGTCTGTGACACCCTTTTGGATTTCTGTGATCCTGACCAAACCAAGGTAAAAATGGATTTTCAAGAAATATGGTACCACTAGTTTGATAAGTTTCATATGGTTCCAGCCCAGTTGGACTACAGATGATCTTTATTTTCCTCTTAATATTTTTCTGAAGTTTTTATAATCAAATAAGAAAGGTGCCAGTTTCTCACGCCTGTAATCCTAGCTACTCAGGTAGCAGAGACCAGGAGGACCACAATTCAAAGCCAGCCCATGCAAATAGTTTTGCGAGAGAGACCTTATCTCAAAAACCCCCATCACAAAAAAGGACAGGTGGAGGGACTCAAGGTGTAGGCCTTGAGTTCAAACCCCAGTACTGCAAAAATTAAAAAAATAGGAAAAAGAATCAAAGAGAGGTCCTGGCACACTGTCAGCAAATGATAAGACCTCATAGTTCACATAGAAGGAGAAGACAATCCTCCACTACCTCCAGCACCTCTAGCACCTCTTCCTCACCTGTAGGCTTACTCATGGCAACACCAATTCTCCTATTTCAGAAGAATAGCACACATGGCACTCTCATTTCAGAAAATAGGTGTTCTTTCTCTTCTCCAAAACTATGTCCCTTGTGCATTAATCAACTTCTCCCACACCTCCCTGAGGTTTTGCCTCATTGATTACTCCTCTTTTTTCTGTGTCACTTTTTTCCCTCTGTTTCACTTCCCTTCAATTGCAAGTGTCTCAAGCAGCCCCTGTCTTAAAACACAAAGATTTCCTTTGGCCTCCTTTCTCCGAGGGTTATTTCTATTTCCCTTCTTCACTGAACTTAAAAGGAGTGCGTACACATAGTCTCTAATTCATCTTTCATACCTCTTTCAAAATGTTGGCTTGATATGTACATTCTGGATGCAACTGTTTACTAAAAAGAAATTTTGGTCACAATGTGGCCTGTTTAATCATCACTTTTTCCCTCAGATGGTGCAGGGGATTGAACCCAAAGCTTCCCACATGCTAGGCAAATGCTCTACCACTGATCTACACCCCTAGTCAAATCACCCTTGCCATTCTAACTTCCCTTGCTTGCTACCCAGAAAAATAAATCAGACCATTGCATTGTTTAAGAAATTAGCTATAGCCAGAGAAAACTGGCTTAAAGCAGTATTCATTGATCTTCTGCCCTAAACGTATTTCTGTTTCTACAGCTTACATAATAATTTATCTGTTAATGTCCTTAGAGCAGGGGTTACATCTTACTCCCACTTGTCCCCAGCAATAAGTCCCTTTCAGCATATACTCAGTAAATATTTGATGAATAAATAGATTATTAAAAATAATTCTTTTTTCACTGTCATAGTTCACTCAGTGTCTAAAAGAGCTTAAGGAGCTCTTACAACAGGAAATCCAAAAGAAGTTCAATGAACTTGGACAAGACATGGATTTAGAAAGAAGTTGGAGCGATATACCTTTATCTGACCTTGAGTCCAGGTATCAAACCTCATTTCAAAGAAATACTAGAGAAGTTTTAGTTTTAAAAATTCATTGTTATTTGTTTGTTGTTGTTTTGTTGGATTTTGTTTTGAACTTTAAAAGATGTAGTAAATCATATTCCTTAGTTCATGACATATTTAAATATATGTCATTCCTTCAGAAATTACATAGTGAGTACATGTATTTGCCAACCTGGGTTCTAGATACTAGAAAGGGTTAGGCAGCTGGGCACACAGTTTGTGTAGGGCTTTGCTGCCTTTTACCCAAGGGAGATGGAAGCCTTTGGCAGATTTCAAATAGAGAAGTGTTGTGATCTGACTTAGATTTTAATTTCAAAAGGAATACTGGCTGCTATGGAAAATGGTGTGGAAAGAAGCTCTTACAGTAATGCAGGTCAAAGGTGATGGTAGAGTAGACCAGACTCTAGTACTAGTGATTGAAGGGAGGGGTGTGAATTGGTTGGATTTTAGAATTTTTTTCAGCCTTGTAGTCCCTATAATTAGATGCCCTCAGCAGAGGGCAGAATGGTGGGCAAGGTATGGAAGGTGGTGTGTCTTTGAGTCCACTCAGCAACTGGTCAGTACTCATTGTCAGGCAGCTGGATCTTGATAAGGGAGGCTTCTGGCCTCTCAGTATTTCACAAGCCTCAACTTCCCAATGGACCGACTCCTGCATCCTATAGTCAGACAGGTAAGCCACAAAAGTGCTGCCAAGGATCAGAACAATGGAGAATCCAAGAAGTTAGCTCATATGTTCCAGAGATCCACAAAGGGCCCTTGTTGTAACTTTGGGAGTCTGGGTTCTTCTCATAGAGGTTTCTGTCCAAGGGATCTGCAGCCACCAAAAGGCAGTAAGTGCACAAATCTAACAGCCTGGCCACCATGACAGACTGTGCTTGGATTTTAGACATATCTTTTGAGTTTTGAAATTTTTTTGAAATGGAGTCTCTCTATGTTGCCCAGGCTGGCTTTAAATTCCTAAGTTGAAATGATCCTCCTGCCTCAACCTCCTGAGTAGGGATTCTAGATATATTTTGAATTTATAAATATTATAATTTGTTTATGCATTGAATATGGATTATGGGAGAGAGAATGACTCCACAATTGGTTTGATGGAATTGCTTTTTTTTCTTTTTTGGTGGTGGTGGTGTTGAAGAGTGAACCCGGGACTTCATACATGCTATGCATGCATTCCACCCCCAGTCCTGAAGTTGCCTTTAACTGAGATGGGGAAGATCAAGAGGGTAGAAAAGATTAGGGATACAGTAAGCTCAGGAGTGTAGTGTTAGGATTGTTAAATTTGAATATTCTTCAGACATTTAGTAGAGGAATTGAATAAGCAGTTTGACATTTTAATCTGGAACTTCATGGAAGGTCATGGAGAGTCACTGTTGGATTGATGATCTTTAAACTCTAAGAGTGGATGGAATCCCAATGGGGTAAGTTCAGAGAGAGTGAAAAAGAGGTCTAAGACTGAGTGAAGCATCACAACTTTTATAAGGCCAAGGAGATCTGTAGAGCCAGCAAAGGAGAAGACTGACAAGGCTAGAAGAAAACCAGGAGAGTGATGCTTTTTAAAACTTATATCAGTCATTCCTCTGTTTAAAACACTTCAGTGGCTTCCTAATTCACTCAGATAAAAAGCCTACTATCCTATGGTAGTCTACAAGGCTATAGGATTTAGTACCTGATACCTCTACAGCTTCCACCCTTACCCTTTCACACTGTACCACTGACACAATGGCCTCCTCACTTTCAGACTTGCAGGAGGCCTTCATCTGCCTTCAGCCTTTTGAGCTAGCAATTCTATATGCCTGGAATGCTCTTTCCCCAGCCACGTGGATAATTCCTTTGTCTCCTTTCAAGTCTTTGCTTAATTGTCACTGTTTTCAATGTGGCCTATATTCATTACTCTAATACTGCCACCGGCACCCCTGCCACTCCCACTTCACCTTCTGCCACTCCCCACCCCTCTTAGGTGCTCTACTTTTCCATAGCATTTATCTCCTTCTATCAGCTTCACTGTAGTCTTTATTGTGTCTATTGTTTAGTATCTGTCTCCCTTTATTTTGCTTACTCTGTATCTCATGTACCTTCAGCAGTACCTGTTCTGTACCTAGCACAGGAGAGCTCAGTAAATATTTATAATTAATTTAGTATGCTGGGTTTCAGTTCTACCTCAGTAGTCTCCCTGGCTATTTCAGGAAACACCCAGGTAAGTATCTCATAGGTGTGCAAGACTACCATCTACTCCAACTTACCAGCCAAGGTGCCTCTGGCTGCCCCATCTGCCCTCAAAAGGTTTCAGGGCTGGGCTTGGAGGTCTTCTGCCAGAGACTCCACTGCCATCTGTGGAGGCCAGTGGCAGAGGATTGCTTTCCCACACAATCTTAAATGGTATTTGAGACCTGGGCCTTGAATCAGTTCTTCTGTCTGAGTTTCCTTAGGGAACTTAAAACAGATCATCAGGCCAGGTGGTATGCCCCATTCACCATGTCACCCTTTCCACTCTCCTTCAGTCCTTCGCCTAACTTTCTGAGAGTACTGCACCAACCCCTTTCTACTTTTTAGCCTGAAAACCAAAATATCCTCTGCATGTTGACTCATTTCCCTAGAACCCAGGGGAACCAACTTAGAAATAGCTAGACTCAGCTCTGTAGCTGGCTCAGCAGGGACACTCTAATGCATTTAGTTAAGAATTATTGAAAGCAGTTTGCCAGATTCTGTATCAAGAATCCAGTTACCACAAGCCTTCCTGGAGCTCTCTACCTGTCCATTCTCACTGTTGTACAGAGAGGCATGCTGGGAGTGTTATTTGCTGTCTTTGTGTGAACACACATGGTTTTTGATATTTTCTAGGATATACTTCATCTAATGCTTTTATCTCATTTGTTAAAGTTTTTTGTTATCTCCAAAGGGACTTCGGAGACTACTGCTCAGTGGCCTCAAAGGCTATTCCTTGAATGGAAACACCTTATAATGACTGGAAGTTGGAAATTAAATCACAGACAATAGGGTTCCTTCCTATTGTGGTAGGGCTTCTCACTGTGCACTGAGGGAAGGGAGAAAAACAGAATGAAAGGCTTGACAAAAGAATGGTTCAAAATATTGTTTCCCATGAGATTTGAGTTTTATGTCTAAGGCACTTCTAATATATGGGCCCCTATCATGGAGCATAGCTCTCAGTTCTGGCCAACCAAACCCCAGGAAAGGAAAATACAATGTGACACAAGCAAGTACATGATGAGAAAGAAAGGATTGATTATCTGAGTCCTCATTCATCCTAGCCCTTGCAAAAGACAGGGAAGGGGACAGTTTGTGGAGAAGACTTTAGATTAGCCTAGATGTGTGCATCTACAACTTTTTGAAGGAAAATTGATATGATAAAAGTAATATGCTTTTCCAAGGCTATGGGGTATAGAGAGCCTGCTCAGCATGTATGAGACCCTGGGTTCAATCCCTATCACCCAACAAAAAAAAAAGTAAATTACTGGTTTCTGGCCTGCATATTCTTTCTTAGATTCATAGGTACCTGATAGATCCTGGGTTTTAGAACAAGTACCAGACAAACAGAAGCGACTGAGGAAGATCCTGTGTTCTCAGACAAATCACACAATCCCCTGATGTTCTCCTGGGCTGAACATAGAGAATCCTATGGCCTCTGCACCCTCTGCCAAGGACAGCTTTGCCCATCAGGCCAGTACTCATTTTGCCACATGGATTGTGACTCCTTTGATGCAGGAGCTCTGTGTCATTCATGTATGTTCTCTCTGCCTCATGTGCCTCCTTGCATGCAGCTGGTGTTCAGAAAAGGAATGAATGTGCTTGTCAAGAATTCTTAGTAAATGAAGCACAGACAATGCAGCAAATAACAAATTAGATATCCTAATCCCATGCAGCTAGTCTAGTAAATTTTACACTTCATTCACATATTAAACAGTTATTTTACTTTCTTCTTTCTTTTGGAACTAGCACCAGTGGTTCTGACAGCTCCTTCTCAGATGGTCTCCCTGTTCATCTACTGAACATAGCAGATGAGGTGAGATTATGTTGACTCTTACATCCAGGAAGTAACAACATTAAAAAAATCATGACACTGGCCAGAAGTAGTAGGTCATGCCTGTAATCCCAGCTGTTTGGAAGGTGGATATAGGAAGATTGTGGTTTGAGGCCAACCTGGGCAAAAAAAAGTTAGCAAAACGCTATCTCAAATAATAAGTTGAGCCTATAATACCACCTGAATGGAAGGTGGAGATAGGAGGATCACAGTCCAAGGCCAGCTCAAGAAAATCAAGAGATTTTATCTGAAAAATAACCAAAGCAAAAGAGTTGTGGGAATTGCTCAAGTGGTAGTGCACTTACCTAGTACAAGGCCCTGAGTTCAAAACTCTAGTACTGTCAAAAAAATCATGACACTACTAGACAATTTGGAGAATTTTCCAATTGTCTTGGTATTGCTTGGTATAGCAATGGGCCTGGGAGTGTAGCTCAGTGGTGGAGCGCTTTCCTAGCATGTGTGAAGCCTTCAGTTCAACACCCAGCACTGCAAAAAAGAAAAAGAAAAGAAAATATGGCAGTAGTGTCTTAACTGGTCACCTTACTCTGGAACATTCATTATGGGCTTTTAACTTTCTTACTTAATTATTAAAACCACTTTATGGTAAGAACAAACCTGAATCTTTTAATTACCCATCTAATGATCATACTGTCTGGATTGACCTTATTCCAATGGTCATCTGGTTTCATATTGTAATAACTATTTGGTTATTGGTATAGGTGCCCTTTGGCCGTATACCTACAAACCTACAACAGTGGGAGTTGGGGATGTTAAGTAGGGAGTAACCTTGGTAAGAAAGTAACTGAACCATTGGTTCATTCTCGAAACCACCACCTAATCAGTGGGCTAGCCATTGAGTCTGATCATTATGGAGGCTACCCGTGGGCATGAGTGTGAACCCTCAGTGATCAATTTCTCTG